GTAATAGTGGGGTACCTGGGTGGCTCAGTTAAGAGTCTGTCTTTGGCTCAGGTCATGATCTCAGGGTCCTGGGATTGAGCCCTGTGTCAGGCTCTCTGCTCAGCGGAGAGTCTGCTTCTCCCTCTCCCTCTGCCCCTCCTCCCACTCATGTTCGCTCTCCCTCTCTCTCAAATAAATAAAATCTTTAAAAAAAAAATATAACAGTAACTGTAACATCACCACAAGGGGCATTATCTCCCCGCTCCCCCATACCTGCATTTTGAAGTGATATGGTGTGTATATAGTTCCAGATCCTGGAACCAAATTACTGTTTTGAATTTTGGCTTTGCCCCTTGCTGTGACTTCAGGCAACTTTCTTAACCTCTCTGATAATCTTTAATCAACAAAAAAATGGAGATAATAATAGTATTTACCCAGTAGAGTTGTTGGGAGAAATAAATGAGCTTATTCAAGTAAAATGTCAGATAGATAATATATTCACATAGTGTTAGCTACTATCATCGTCTTTGTCATTATTAGTCATCAACTCCTCCTCTAGAATAGAAGCTTCTCAAAATCAGGCAGTTTGTTTCATTATCTTTGCTTCATCACCAGCACTGAAAACAGTACAGTAGGTTCTCAATAAGTACTTGTTGAAGAAATGAATCCTCACTATAACCCTGGGAGGTAGTGTTCTTATCTGCTTTTTACAGATAAGGAAATGCAGGCTCAAATAAGTTGAGTGCCTCAAGTCTTTTGACTCCCAAGTACAATGAAGTTAAGATTGTTTTAATAATGTGGAAGTATGTCACTTCCTTATAAAATGTATTCTCTGGAAGAGTGCAATCATTTTGGGGGGTCAGAGATTTTTTTTTTCTTGGCAGAGTGGGTGTTCTATAGATACACTGCACTTAAAACTAAATCTGAGTGGAAAAATGTTAAGGCATTTTAGGAAGTTAGGAAGCACAAAAAGTTTGACTCTTAGCAAGAAAAATGTTTTGTTATGTTTGTTCAGTGGATGGGACAAACTAAAGAGCTAGTACAGCAGTTCCTTGGAGTCTGAAAAATGGTACAGACTATTGGCTAAGAGACCTATGTTTTCTCTGGTCATGGGCAAAACACATGTTCTTAGAAGGTGTTGTTTTCTAAGTCCTGAAAGTTCAGATTCCTTTCACCATATACAAATGATAGGAAATGTGCTAAGCCCTCAGGCTACAAGGGTAAAATTATATATATATGGAGAGCCTTGTCAGCAGATTCTTAGGCATTATGGGGAGCTCTGGGAAGAATAGAAAGACACAAATTAACTTTGACATGATGTATAGTGTATTTTTAAGATAGTGGAGATAGAGAGAAACCTTTCCAATTTGAATCACCGGTCAGTTAAAGTGTTCCTTGCCTAATTTTCTTTTTCAAAGAGAACAGTACAGTAGGGGAGGTGGGAGTAGATGTAGAAGAGATATGGCCCCATTCTAGCAAGTGTCTTTTGCATTTCATCTACATTCCTGTAGGTGCACTGTTTTGGAGGATTCCTATTCGTGAGTTCACTCTTCTGTCAAGTCAGGTGACCCATTAGGCGATTAGAAATAACTGAAAAATTGGAAACTTAGGAATTAGTTTCTATGATTCTCCCTTTTACTTGTTATGTAATATCAGTGGGTCTTTAAAAGGGAGGGAAAAGAAAATGGAGGAGAGCTGATCAGCCCAGGTGAATGGACTTGCCTTAGAGAAGGAAACCTGTGGAGCTCTCCATATGTGTCCTAGTAGGCAATGTAGTCTGATGAATAAGAGAAGTAGTAATTTCTGGACTTTATCTTCCTCTACTGTGGCTTGCTAAAGTCCTTCTGGAAGCATCCATATCCTTTGGAGTATTGTTCTGGATTTAATAGATAATCAGGCCTGGGGCTGCTGTCATGGTTTTATCATCTAGATCATGGTGACTTCTGTTAGGGCAGTGGCCAAGTGATGCCCCCAACTATAGCCTTTGAGCATCCTGGTCCTAGCCTTAACTTCAGGCCTTAACCTGTCCTAACTTAACTTAGGCTTTGGGAAAACAGGCCAGGGTTTGCTGGGCAAATGCATTTCCAAGCCTGCATTGTAAAATGGAATGGGTCCAGTTACCAGGCCTTTGGGCTTTGAGGACTTATCCCAGATCCAGAGTAAGTACACATAGCTTCTGAGGAAGGAACTCACTTTGTGCTTAGCTAGTTCAGATAGCCTGTTGTAGTGGCCCTTGGTAACAAAGCTTGTGGCCCTGGTTTCCATGACTCTGCATGCAGGCCAGTTTGGAAAAGGGTGACTGAAATCACCCAGTAGACTTTGTCCTTTAGTTTGATTAGCCAAACCGGGAATGGTCTAAACTAAAAGGAAGGGCCAGGCAATACAGGAGGTAAGGATTCTGGGAGCTGGGCTCTGTGAACTGCCCAGTTGTTCAGAGGACCTCTTCCTTTCTTCTTTGTTCCTTGAGATTTAGCTGGCATTTTCTTTGGGTTCCGTGCTATGGGACTGAATCTACTAACCTTTCTGCCCTTTTTTTCTGCTCTTTCTCTCCTTGCAGAAGGAAAGCGAGGAGCTGTTCAGGTTGTGCCTCTGGCCCTTTGGGCCTTTTTTGTTGTCTATTTTCAACCCTTCTCTCCTGAGCACGGAGTGCGTGTGTGTGCATGTGTGTGTATGCGTGCGCGCATGCACACATGTGTATGATCTGGCCTCTGAGCTTTGGCTCATGCAGATATTCTGTTTTTCCTGAAAGCAGTTTGTGGGCATGCTCCATTCTTGTGTGCAGACATCCCTGGAGTGTCTCACAGTGTGAGAATGTGTGTGCCAGCATGGCGCACATTCAATGTAGCATGTGTGTGCTTATATTCGTACTCAGTTTGACTACCCCAAACACTGATTGCCCTCCTCTTCTACTTTGCACAGTGTTTGTCCATTTTTTGCTTGTTACTGCAGGTTGGCATATGCTGTAAACCCTTGCTGAGCCCAGCATGCATATACTTTGTCTTTGGGAGCAGGAGTTGCTGTGGGCATTTTGTGCCTCTTGCCTGGGGTCCTAAGTATGAATGTGCTTTGTGCTTCTGAGCAGGTTTCTTGGTCTCTCTGTGAGCACAAGCTTCTGTAGACCTGTGATGTGGTTCCCCCATGCCATGTGAATGCACAGTATAACTAATGCTTTGTGCCTGTAAGCACTGGTTCTTGAAGACAGTGAGGGTTTGCTGTTGCCTGTGATTCCAGCCCTGGTGAACACCGAATCCTTCTTCAAATGGTGTGCACACGTTTCGTCACCCTATGTGCAGGATCCATGATCACCTTGTGTTTCCCTCAGGCATAAGTTGTGTCTATGAATATACCTGCTGTAGGTACTTCATCTAAACCTCTCACTCTCAGTCCTCCTTCGGTACCTCTGTGTGCATGCTCTATGCTTTGTCTGCAGGCTTTAGCAGATCCTTTGTCTCCTCTAAATGTGTATGATCTGAGCTTGTTGAACCCTGGTTCCCAGAGACCTTTTGTGACTTCGTTTCCTTAAGGTCTGTGGTTTCTGGCAAACATCTAATTCTAGGTAGGAAATAAAAATCTGCTCAGTATAGTGACAATTTTCAAAGGGAAGATAAGTTCTGGGTGGTAGGATTTGGGGATTTAGGGATAGGACTGCCCCTCAGAAGCAACCTTAGGAGATGTGTATCCCTAACCACTTCTGGTTTCCTTTTGGGCTTGGCTGTCGTTTTGCCGGTATTATCCCACCCACAGAACCAGGACAAGAGCCAGATAAGGTGAAATGGGTTCATGAAGGGCTGTAGGCAATAGGCAGATGGGCTTGCTCAGAATACAGACAATCTGAGAAGGGTCTTTAGTCCAAAGTTCATATTGAGCCTACTGCTGACCCAGGGTAATTCTTATCCACTTTTACATCACTCTATATACATAGCTGTCCTACCTCTCCCTATCTCTCCCTTTTCTACTTTGGCTTGCCTAATTTTATCTATAACTTCTCCCATCTGTGGCTCTCCCAAAACTTCACCCCCTGTACAAAGTTAAACACCTTACTTCTGCCTTCCCTGCTTTGGAGTTCGTTTGTTCCAGGATAATTAGCTGGAGCCCAGGTATCAGGAGGCGTGAAAGTTTTGGGGGGTGGAAGGGAACGAGGAAGGGGCAGGAAGCCCCAGACCTGCTAGCATTAGGTTTATTGAGCCTAAACAGCATTTACCGTTGGTTCTCTGGAGAGCCCTGGAAGCTTTGGAACTTTGCTCTGTACACTGCTTAAAGGATTTTTTTCCTGTGGGTTTGTTTGTTCATTCGTTTGTTTATGGAGAAACCTTTAAAAACTGTTCTCAAACTGTTTCTTCCTTGAATTATTTGGTACCTCAGTTTTCAGTTTCTCATTATAGAGCTCATAAAGTCCACCAGAAGATAATTTAAGTATCTAATCTACCCTGGTTTCTTTTGTTATATATAGAGAGAGCTTATCAAATGTAGAGTGTCTATGAGTTAGAACTTTAAGGAACCTAAGCCAAGTCAAATCACAAGATGAGATGGGAATCCAGAAAGACCAAGTCACCACTCTGTGACAGCAAGGGGAACTTATGAATATAACTAGAAGACTCTATATGAAGTTGTCCTTTTTCTCAAGAGACCTGGAAGCCCCAAATGGACCCTTTTTTTTTTTTTTTTGTAAGCCTTGGCTTACTGTTATGTATACCAGTGGATTGTGTGAGGGGGATATAAGTTCTGGCACCTCTCACACTCCCCAGTGAAACCTTAGCTTTGAGATCTCAGTGAGCTTGACTTTATATCCTTCCTATTCACTGGGGAGAAGGGAGACAAGGAAGTTCTCATTTCAGCAACCTGCTTGTTGCTCTGGCTGATCAGGGCATTGGCTTAGACATCAGTCTGGCTATGTCACCACATTTTGTATGTAACCTACACTTTTCTGAGCTTCCTGCTTTACTACTCACTGCCTGACCAAAGAAAGATGGCTATCTCCCATCTTTTCTAGGATCTAACTTTTTTTCTATCTCTTTTTAAAGATTCCAGATGATGGTCACCCCTCTTTGCCCCAGTGGCTCCCAGAAGGGTAAGTGATTCCCTACAAGGTTTCCATGGATTTTATAGTCTCTCATGCAACTTCCAGCTTTTCCCCTGGGAAGCAGTAGAAAAAACTCCATAAATTGGATCCTGGGAAAGAAGAAAGAGGCTCTACTATACGGATTGGTTGGTTCTCTGGGGGAGAGGAGAGAACTCTGCAGACTGATTCCTCAGAGACAGAAGAGAGAGCTTTATAGAGTGGTTCCCCTGGAGCAGGGAAGGGAGACTTGGGGCTTCCCTATCCTTGCCTCTAGAATTTCTGATTCATTGCATCTTAGTAATGATCTACCCTTTAGGTAGAAGAGGAAACTAGAAAAATATCTGCGTTTGACACAGTTCTTTTTTATTCCATTGTTGATAGTGTAGTTGATTAGATTACTCTCTGGGTTCTGTCCTGAATTCAGCTGATGTGAGTCACTTACTTATTCCATTCCACTCTAGTCAAGACATAAGTAGCATCCTTTATGAGCTCAGTGTGTTCTGTCTGTGCTTCTTGTTTGAGAGTCTCAGACCCATGTGACTGCAGCAGAGAGTCATTTTAAGCTGCTCAACTGCTGCCTATAACTGACTGTTCTTGAGAGGAAAGAGTTTAAGTGCCTCCCCCTCCTTCCTGGGGCACATAAACTGCCCATTATTTCTCAGGATCTTCTTTCTCTCCTTGTCCCATATAGGCCTTTTGACATGAGCGTTCCCAGTGGATGCCTCCTCTCCCTCATGACCAGGGAAGAAATAAGATCAGATCATAAAGTTATCTACTATATGTTTACATGCTCCTTTTCCTTGTGATTTGTCTCTTTTAAATCAAGAGTTGGTCATTTGAATGAACTATCGTTTTTTCTGTTGTCTGAAGCTCATTTATGTTGCAAAATCCTTAAGTGGTACATATTATAGTTTTTAGAATTAACCACAAACTTGTGGTACCAGTTGCTTTTTCTACAGACCTTCTTCGGGACTTTAGCTTTTTTCTTCTAATGGTTGTAAAATACATACATGACAATGGAACATAGCTAAGTTATTTGTATATTTAATTTTTTAAGCTATTTTTTTTAAAGATTTTATTTATTTATTCGACAGAGAGACACAGCGAGAGAGGGAACATAAGCAGTGGGAGCGGGAGAGGGAGAAGCAGGGAGCCCGATGCGGGGCTCGATCCCAGGACCCTGAGATCATGACCTGAGCCGAAGGCAGACACTTAACGACTGAGACACCCAGGCGCCCCTTTTAAGCTATTTTTAAATGGGGCCATGCAGTGATTTTCTAAATGTCTCCCTGTTGTCTTTCCTTTAGCTTAGTCCTTGGAAGCTGTTACAGGTTTAGAACTTCCCTAGGTCTGGTAGTCTCATTGAAAGCAAAGTTCATTTCCTGTTTAGGAAGCTAGTTTATTAGAAATGAACATATCAGGTTGCCTGTTGCAACTCTTGGCCTTGATCTAGTTTGTGGCTCCATTTTTTGCCTATATAGCTAGCTGGCAGTACCTACTTAATCTTCTGCAACATCTCTTTTTAGACCAGTTGTGGTGTATCACCCAACTACCTTACCACCTTTCCCATCTCCTTGTTTTCATTAAGGCCAAGTACATGAGTTCTTTTTATTGAGGCTCAGAATATCAGCTTCCAAAAGGTCAGAGAAATTCTGTAGTTCATTCCTTTATAGAATTGGCATCAAGACCCAAAGAGAGGAAGTAATTTTGGCACAGGACATGTAGTGAATTAGTAGAAGAGTTGGGGATAAAATCCAGTTTATCTCATTGTGAGAGAATGGTGTTCTAGGATATTCTCTTTATTGTTATTGCATATAGTTATGGAAGAAATGGCAAAGAACAACAAAATAAGCATAGAAAAGGTATAAAAATTTTAGAAATCTCCAGTTGCTCCAGCTGTAATTTTTTTTTCCTGGTCCCTGTTGATGTAACCATAGGGCTCGGCCAGACTTTCAGAGTCCGTCTGTTGTTTCCTTCCTGAATGGTCTTTTTTCCCCTCTAAGTGGCCTTTTGGAAATCTTCTATCCCACCTTTCCTGCCTCTACTTGGTTATGCAGACTCCTCTTTCCATGGAGACCCTTTCTCTTCAGGATGCTTGGATGGACAGAACTGGTGACTCTTTTACTCACGATAGAGAAGGTCATCTCCTAATGTCATTAACAGTCTTGCTTAGGCAGCAGCTCTTCTGTAGAGCCATTCCCATGGGCTCTGTTCTAGCATAGAACAGGAAACACTTATCTTAGGGGAGCAGTGTCTCTGGCCTGAGTGTAGGGAGAGGCCCTCTTAACTACCAATTCCGTCCTTGCATTATGGAGTACAGAGGCCTTCAAATAAACAGAGGTGCCTTGAAGTGTTGTTATGGGATAAAAGAGCTCTTGATTTTTGGCTAAAACTATAGAAGGAGACTCAAAAGGGCACTCTGAGAGCAGATTCCATTGCTTATCATTCCATGGCTTTATTTCTCTCACTTTGTGTCTTCCTTACCCCTCTCAGAGAGATATGGTGGAAATCAGTTCATCTTCCTCTGGGGAGTGGGTGAGCAAGGAAAATAGAACACTGAACCTGCCAGTAACAAGGCAGGTCTGGAGGTCCTGACATATTTTCTTCTCTCCTCAGGCCAGCTGGAGGGCTCTATGGCATTGACAGCATGCCAGATCTACGCAGAAAGAAGCCACTGCCGCTTGTCAGTGATCTGGTGAGTGACTCTTTGTAGACTTAGGCTGTAGGCTTGGGGTATCTCCCATTGGACCTTGGCATATTATTAGGACTGGTAGTGGTCCATTTAGTGACAGATACTGGTCTGAAAATGTATCATCTAAAGCTCCCCTGAGACTTAGTGATGAGACCTTAGTTGGACTTGTTCTATCTTACTCCCTCATTAGAGCCCCAGGTTCTTCATTAGCTAAAGCTCCTACCTGGAACTACAGCTTGGGCCCTTAAAACTGGGCTCCAAAGTAGTCTTCTAGGTATCTTGTTCCTCTCTACAGCCTTCTTTGATGATCTGGAATGGAAACTGCCTCTAGCCCTGACCTAGATCATTGAGTTTAGTGTATAATGAGCATGACTGATGCTACTCCTTGGAGGTAAAGTGACAGTCTCCTCCTAAGATAGATTTTCTGGAGTATTTCTATGTCCCTAGTACTTAACTCAGTGTCTGGCACTGAGAGGTAATGATAAAAAAAATTGTGGAATTGAATTGAAACAAGCTTAGGAGTTAAAGCTGATCTCAGGACCTCCAGAATGACTGGAAGGTCCCAACTTGGGTCATGCCTCCTGCGGCAGGATGAACTCAAGGAATTTTCCCTAGCCTAGTGGGTGATGGGCGTGGAGTAGGGCCCAGGCTTTCCCAGAGTCCTAGAGCTCTAAAGCTAGAAGTTCAGTAAGACTTGAACCCCTTTTCTTAGTACTATTTTCTGCCCCTGTTTTCTACCCCCCCCACCATTCAGTCTATTTTGTTTTTTCTGTCCACTCCTTTTCCCATTTCTCCTCCATTCCCTGCTCTTTTTCCCCCACCAGTTTCTCTATCCTTAATTGGCTGAATGGAATTATCCTATGCCGTTTTCTCTTGTTTTTTTCCTTCCTTCCTTTCTTCCCTACTGCTTGTATATTTCTCCTTTCTCCTTTTCCTCCTTTCTAATGTATATCTCCTCTCACCATAAAGCTGGTTGGATGAGGATAAGTTCTGAGGTCATCTCTTTATTACTTTCTCTCATTATCTTCCATCTCCTTTTTCTTCTCTTCCTACTTTTTCTCCACCTCTACCCACCCCCTCTCTCTTGCACACCAGCTCCTCTTTGCTTAACTAGTTGGATGGCAGTGTCTTAGTCATTTCCTACTCCCATTCTCCATCTTTTAACCTTGCCTATATTTCGCTTCCTGGCTTAACTCTTCCTTAGAGCAGAAGCTCTGGGCCCTGGACAGCTGGCTGGGTTGAAGATAATTTTTAGTGGATAGAAGCAGAGGGGGTTGGGATGTTGTTCCCTACATTGATTAGACTATAGGGAAGAACCTTTCAGTTGCCTCTACAAGTGTTTTCATGCTCTTGGGGGTGGCTTTAACATCATGTTGTTCCTTTCTCTGCTGTCCTCTGCACAGGCTATGGTGAGTGTCTCCAGAGCCCCTTTCCATCCTCCGTAAGAATCCACATCTCAAACCACCTGGGCCCCTCCCAACTCTTTCTCCTGCTTAGGCTGATACTATACCTCCTGTCTACCCAATGTCCATTGCCCTAGGGAAACCATGTGCCTCTCCAGGGGTTGTCCCTAAAGCCTGGGCGTGGCAGATACATTAGGTTCCTTTACATAACAGCTTGGCTAGCAGAGCAGTCCCAGCTCTCAGATTTAATCCCCCGCCTTGATTGACTGAGGTTACATTGCCCCTTTCACTTGCCAAGTGTCCTGCTCATTTGGGCTGCTGGCCTCTATAACCACCTGGGATTATGTGGGTGTGGGTTGGTACCCAGGAATAAAGGATAGCATGGCATCATTCTCAGTGATGGTTCTTAAATGACTCTGACATAGTTTATTCTGTTCTTAATGACCTGTTTCCTACTGTAATTCTAAACTTGTCGTTTTCCTTTGCCTTCCTATAAATGAGGGGTAGGAAACCTACCAATAGGGAAGGAAAGAGAAACTCTTTGGATGATAGGTGCCCTAAGAGAAGTGCCATTCTAACATTGTTAGAATAGTCCCGAGGGTCTTGTGTTTTAGATCTTAACTTGGCATTCTTATTACCTAGAACCCATGGGCAGTCCCTTTGAATGACAGTAAAATTAGAAGGTAGTAAGTCAAGTAGTCAAGTCACTTTGGTCACTGAAACTCCCTTCCTAGCACTTTGCCAGCCCTTGGCAGTAGCCAAGGCTGACAGCAGGTCTTCTCTCACAGTCATTGGTCCAGTCCCGGAAGGCAGGGATTTCTTCTGCAATGGCTACACGCACCTCTCTCAAGGATGAAGAGCTGGTAAGTGACGCATGGGCTTTTGTGAGTCCACTGGCCTAAAAACTGGTTATCATCTTTATAGCCATACTAACTGAGAATTCAAGAGTGTTGGGCACACATCATTAATGAAACAGATAAAAAGCTTTGGGTCTGAGTTTTCCACGCTGGAAGAGGTAAGGAGCCAGAACAAAGGTAAGACCAAGTCTCACGTTGGAGTATGTGACCAGTGAACTCAGGGTTTTATGGTGGGGCTAGTATCCTCTGTTTCCTTAGAAACCTTGAACGCTGGGAAAAGGTTCAGATGTAGCATTCAAGTCAGACCTCTCTTGGATGACCAGGAGCACATGACATTGGGGGGCTTCTTTCTTCCAGTCTTGGCTATGGGCTGGGCCAGGCTAGAGTCTCTCCTTTATTGCCAGAGGAGAAACCAGGGTCTTGATTACCCTGCAAGGATCTCAGTTCTGGTATCTCTCAGCAGAGACCTAAAGTTGTTGGCGGGTGATGGGGTATGTGTCTTTCAGAAATCCCATGTGTATAAGAAAACCCTGCAGGCCTTAATCTACCCCATCTCGTGCACCACACCTCACAACTTTGAGGTCTGGACGGCCACTACCCCGACCTACTGCTATGAATGTGAAGGTCTGCTCTGGGGCATTGCCCGGCAGGGCATGCGCTGCAGTGAGTGTGGAGTCAAGTGCCATGAGAAGTGCCAGGACCTGCTCAACGCCGACTGCCTGCAGCGTGAGTGCCCCTGTGGTGAGGGGTGTAGAGCAGGGACAGCAGGGCCTCTCCAAAATAGTCTTGCAACAAAGAGCTAGGATGGCCAGACTGTCATTCCTCTGGTTTACCTGATCGTGAAGCTCTTTCTTTTTCAGAGAAAGTACGGTCTTGAGTCAAGGGGCATTGCCTTTCCAAATAACAGGTCTTATAGCACTCGCTCAAGCACCTTTAGGAATACATTTTTTGAGCTTTCTGTGGCCCTGTGGCAGAATTGGATCTCTTCTAGGATTCAGATGATCGCAGAATCTGCTTAAGTAGTGTACCTGCTGCAGTGGCCATATTGCCCAAATGACTAGAATATGTTTAATTGGGGACCAAAACTGATGAGGGAGTTCTGTGAGTTTCCACACTTCACAGAAGAACCTCTTAAAGTATAGACCCTAGGACCCAGGGAAGGTGGCATTTTTTTCCTTGATTATAGATGCAGCTTTTAGACACAGTGCCAGGAACAGAACCATCAAATGGAGCAGGCAGAGGTCCCAGAGGAGAATGTGCCAGACTCCCAAGGCCCTGACTAAATACGTGATTTGTTGTGCCATCATGGAGTGGGGCGAATAGGAGCAGGAAAAGCAACAAGTTTCTGTCAAAGGAGTTGGCAGCCCTCCAAATTCTTGCTCCTTGCTCTGCTCCTGCAGGGCTTATACCACTGTGGCTAGACCTCAGGAGGAGCGGGGGTTAGGGATGTGGGAAAGTATTTTCTTGCTCCTCCAGGTCTTTCAGGTGTTACTCAGAGCTAAGCCATAGCAAAGAAAGTTTCAAGGATTGTGGGAGGAGAAAGGAAGGTTACCTTCAGACTCATAAGCACTTCATTATCCCAAGGAAAGATATGTGACATAAATGGGGCCCAGAGAGAGGCCTCAAAGAATTGTTCCCTTAAAATGTCTTTCTGCAAAGAGCCCTAGATTGGTGCCAGTGGCATGGCTACAGCAGACATGCAGAAACAGGTAGAACAAAGTCAGTGGAAGAAATGGAGCTCTGAAAAGACTGAATATGAATGCTGGTGATGACTTTGCCCAAACCCATCGTGGCGGCGGCGGGGGGGGGCGGCGGTGCGGTGAGAAGCACAGGTGTCAGCAGACTCTTGCTTTAATTGCTGAGAACTAGCCGCCAGACAGACTGTATAGGCAGCTTGCTGGAAACCTTCTGAAATGCTGCTCTGTAGCAAGAGTGTCTACCTTTTTCTCAAGGGCCTTCTAGAGGTGCTAATCCAAGGAAGTAGCAGTGCATGGGATATGCTAGCTAAATGGCAAGACTCGGATGCAGCCCAGGTCATTTTTCATTTATCAGAAAGTATCTTCTGCCTAAAGCTTCTGTGAAGCGCAGGGTGGAATGAAGTGCCCTACTATGGGCCTCCTGTGACAGAAGATCCACTTACCATCTTTCCAGGGTTAGCATGCAGATGTTGGCCTTAATTTTTGCTCCAGGTTTTGTAGAAAAGGCCCAAGCCTTTGGAGAATAGAGAGAGGTAAGAGCCAGTCTGCAGAGCCAGTAAAAGAAGGAAGGGCCCCTTTCTGACAAGCCCATTTGGTGAAACACATCAGAGGAGTCTGTTCTGCCATAATCCTTAGGACAGCAAGGGAAACCTGCTAGCCTCTGAGGTGAGCTATCTGGCGTCACAGCCGGTAAAGATGTCCCTTGCCATCTCTGCCAGGATAATAATGATGCTGGTAACAATAAAAGCGACCATTTATTTGAGTTCCTGCTAGGTGCCAGGCTCTGGGCCAGATGCTTTATATATGCTAACATAATGCTTCTTAAAATCCCAAGAGTTAAGTGCTGATTTCTTAGAAGAACCTGGTTTACCCAGCTAGGAGTGGTGGAGTGAGAATTTAAGCCCAACCCTGTCTCATACCAAAGGCCGTACTTTTCTTTCTATACTACATTATTTTCTGAGATTAAAGGCATTAGAGTCCTGAGGCAGAATCCAGTGTATGCTCTGATGAACTCTGGGATCTGTATCATGGCTTGGAAGTTGGATGAGATTGGTGGAGTTGTCATGTGCACCCACCCACCCTCCCTGATAACTGAGATACCCATTGGTGGTATTTTGGCCTTAAACTTGAAGGGTACCTCTCAACCATGTGGGATAGAAGAAAGACAAGGCCAACTTCAGGCTAAGCTACACTTTTTGTTTCTTTTTTTTTTTTTTTTGATGAAAAATTCAATATATATCTAAGTGAAATAGCATAATAAACCCCCATAATAATTATCAAGTTTTCTGCTTAAATTCCACTAGCCAGGCATTAAACTTCAGCAGGTCCCATATTGATTAACTTTTCCCAGGGCCATCCCAGTGTTAAGCTCCTTCTACTTCTCACTGACCTCTCCCAGGCCCCATTCCTCAGCTTGACCCTTGGTCTGGTGGGTGGCCTATTGGTTATCTTACTTTCTGTCTCTGGTCATTATTCAGGGGCTGCAGAAAAAAGTTCTAAACATGGAGCTGAGGACCGGACCCAGAACATAATCATGGCCATGAAGGACCGCATGAAGATCCGAGAGCGGAATAAGCCAGAGATCTTTGAGGTTATCCGAGATATCTTTACTGTAAGCAAAGTTGCCCATGTGCAACAGATGAAAACAGTGAAGCAGAGTGTACTGGATGGCACCTCCAAATGGTCGGCCAAAATTACCATCACTGGTGAGTAGGCCAAAGTTTGAGAGGACAGGAATGCCTAGGCTGTGGGGAGGAACCTGGGGAAGAAGCATCCTGAGTTGAGGGAGCAGGGGGCTAGAGGGAAAGAAGATAGAATTGAGGGAAGAAGGGAGGGCCTTCCTCCTCTCCTAGACCTTGGTGCCATCAGGTATTGGGAGAGCAAGGCCAGCATCTACAAGTGATATGAATGATAATGAAGGATTTGGTAACAATCTGATGTTATGTACTTGGTTAACGTCTCGTATTACAAGAGCTAGGGGTGGGGGAAACAGGATAGGTAGGAGATCAGGGAATAGTTAAACTGGTGCTTTACTAGCTTGGTGGGTGTGGCTGAAGCATGTATATATCAGTATTAGGGGTAAGTGGTCAGTTAGGGCTCTGGTGAGCAGGTGGGATTCTTGGGCCAACTTTTGAGAGAAAGACTGGTGGCCCAGGACTAAGCGTAGATGTGGAGGACTGAGATTAGTGTTCCCTTGCAAGGAGCAGATAGAGACTGCTCTAAGATGGAGAACATATGAGTGGTGCTATGGAGGACTTCTGACTTCTGGAGTGTACTCTAAAGCCTCCTCCTCTGTAATTGGGTTGCAGTGGTGTGTGCCCAGGGCCTACAAGCCAAGGACAAGACAGGATCCAGTGACCCTTACGTGACTGTGCAAGTGGGCAAAACCAAGAAGCGTACCAAGACTATTTTTGGGAACCTGAATCCTGTTTGGGAAGAGAAGTTCCATTTGTAAGTCACAGAAGGCTTTGTCTTACCTGGGACTGTATGTACTTTAGAAGCAGCATTAAATCCTATTATTCTTGGCTTGGACCCTAAGAGGGATGGGGCAGTGGCACTGGAAAAAACCCATTTCTCACCGGTTTCAATTGGGCAGCAGCCATTTATTTCCTGGGTTTCTTTTCATGGACTGTTATGTCAGGATTACTTTACCCAGGCCCTGTCTTAAGTAGGGCTATTAAAGGGACTCTTGGGCACTCCATACTGCTTTTTCTAGTGTTAGATTTTCCTACTGCTCAGTGACAAAACCAGGGACTGACCACCCTATTGTGTACCTCTCAGCCTTGCCATCCTGCCTAGGAAGGATTAGACTCTTCTGGAGAGTTGGGAAGGAATGTCTGAGTAATTCTGGCTTGAAGATAGAAATCTGGGGTCCGGAGAAGTTTCCATTTCCCTTAAAAGACTCTGCTTTTTCTCCTGCCTCAGCTCCTACTCCTACTCCCTTTCCTATTGTCTCATTTTCTTACAGACTATTTCATAAGACAGTAAGGGATGGTTGTTGAAAAGTGGCAAGCTCTAATCTAGGACATGGAATAATGTTTGGAGAATCTAGATGCTTTGTCACACCCCTAAGGCCTAGGACCAGGACTTAGAGTCTGAATTAGCTAAGCCGGCTGGTTATGTAGAGACCTTCTTCTCTTGGCTCCGGAGAAGTCATGTGGAAAGGGATTGGGGCCTAGTACAGTTGGCCTCCAGTTCAGAGGCAGTAGTTACTGGGTGGAGCACCTACTTCTTTAAGAATCTGAGTGGTTCCTGCTTGAATTCTTTTTATTCTAAATTAATTCTAAATGAATTGACTCTGTAGTCAGTTTTGCCTGTTTTTATCCATTTAGCAAATACATTCTTTTTTATTTTATTTTATCTTATTATGTTAGTCACTGTACAGTACATCATTCGTTTTTGATGTAGTGTTCCATGATTCATTGTTTGCGTATAACACCCAGTGCTCCATGCAATACTTGCCCTCCTTAATACCCATCACCAGGCTAACCCATCCCCCACCCCCCTCCTCTCTAAAACCCTCAGTTTGTTTCTTGGAGTCCATAGTCTGTCGTGGTTCGTCTCCCCCTCCAATTTCTCCCCCTTCATTTTTCCCTTCCTTCTCCTAATGTCCTCCATGCTATTCCTTATGTTCCACAAATTAGTGAAACCATATGATAATAGACTTTCTCTGCTTGACTTATTTCACTTAGCATAATCTCCTCCAGTCCCATCCATGTTGATGTAAAAGTTGGGTATTCATCCTTTCTGATGGCTGAGTAATATTCCATTGTATATATGGACCACATCTTCTTTATCCATTCATCTGTTGAAGGGCATCTCAGCTCTTTCCACAGTTTGGCTATTGCAGACATTGCTGCTATGAACATTGGGGTGCATATGGCCCTTCTTTTCACTACATCTGTGTCTGTGGGGTAAATACTGAGTAGTGCAATTGCTGGGTCATAGGGAGCTCTATTTTTAATTTTTTGAGGAACCTCCATAATGTTTTCCAAAGTTGCTGTACCAACTTGCATTCCCACCAACAGTGTAAGAGGGTTTTCCTTTCTCCACAACCTCTCCAACATTTGTTTTTTCTTGCCTTGTCAATTTTTGCCATTCTAACTAGTGTAAGGTGGTATCTCAATGTGGTTTTAATTTGAATTTCCCTGATGGCTAATGATGATGAACATTTTTTACATGCATCTCTTAGCCATTTGTATGTCTTCTTTGGAGAAGTGTCTGTTCATGTCTTCTACCCATTTATTGACTTGATTATTTGTTTTTTGTAACTGTAGAAAGAGAAATTAGAGAACTGATTCCATTTACAATAGCACCAAAAACCATAAGATACCTTGGAATAAACCTAACCAAAGAGGTAGAGGATCTGTACTCTAGGTACTACAGAACACTCATGAAAGAAATTGAAGAAGACACAAAAAGATGGAAAAACATTCCATGCTCATGGATCAGAAAAATAAACATTGTTAAAATGTCTGTGCTGCCCAGAGCAATCTATACCTTCAGCGCCATCTCGATCAAAATTCCAATGGTATTTTTCAAAGTGCTGGAACAAACAATCCTAAAATTTGTGTGGAATCAGAAAAGACCCTGAATTGTTAAGGAAATGTTGGGGGAAAAAAACAAAACAAAACTGGGGGCATCACGTTGTCTGATTTCAAGCTATATTACAAAGCCGTGATCACCAAGACAGCATGGTACTGGCACAAAAACAGACACATAGACCAATGGAACAGAATAGAGAGCCCAGATACGGACCCTCAACTGTATGGTCAAGTAATCTTTGACAAAGCAGGAAAAAATATGCAATGGAAAAAAGACAGTCTCTTCAATAAATGGTGCTGGGAAAATTGGACAGCTATATACAGAAGAATGACACTCGACCATTCTCTTACACCATACACAAAGATAAACTCAAAATGGATGAAAGACCTCAGTGTGAGACAGGAATCCATCAAAATCCTAGAGGAGAGGGGCGCCTGGGTGGCTCAGCCGGTTAAACGTCTGCCTTTAGCTTGGGTCATGATCCCAGTGTCCTGGGATCGATCCCCACATCGGGCTCTGTGCTTAGCAGGGAGCCTGCTTCTCCCTGTCCCACTGCCTGCCTGTCTGCCTACTTGTGCTTTCTCTCTGCCTCTGTCAAATAAATAAATAAAATCTTTAAAAAAAAATCCTAGAGGAGAACATAGGCAGTAACCTCTTCGACATTGGCCACGCAACTTCTTTCAAGACACGTCCCCAAAGGCAAGGGAAACAAAAGCAAAATTGAACTTTTGGGACTTTATCAAGGTAAAAAGCTTCTGCACAGCAAAGGAAACAGTCAACAAAACAAAGAGGCAACCCACAGAATGGGAGAAGATTTTTGCAAATGATACTACAGACAGAGGGCTGATATCCAACATCTATAAAGAAATTCTCAAACTCAGCACCCAAAAAACAAATAAGTCAATAAATGGGCAGAAGACATGAATAGCAAATACATTCTTAAACCCCTATTCTGTAGAAGACACTGTAGATGATATTGTGTATCTAAAATGTGCAAGACATGGCGCATCTGGGTGGCTCAGTTGGTTAAGTGTCTGCCTTTAGTTCAGGTCGTGATCTCAGGATCCCGGGATCGCGTGCCCATTGGGCTCCCTGCTCAGTGGAGAACCTGCTTCTCCCTCTCCCCCTACCCCTCCTTCAGCTCTTTCTTTCTCTCTGTCTCTCTAATAAATAAAATCTTAAAAAAAATAAAATGTATAAGACAATCTGCCTTCAAGAAGCTCCTTGTCGATTTGTCTATTTTTCAGTAGACCAGCAGTTATACTATAGTATTTTAATGGGATGTGCAAAGATACTATGAGAACACAGAGAAAAAAAGCAGCAAATTCTATCATTGTATGAGTCAGTAGGATCCCATAAGCACCTGTGAGGGAAGGAGAGCATGTGGGGTACCTGGCCAAACTCCCTTTTCCAAAGCAAACATCATAGGGAAAAATAACAATTCAACTGGGTTTTAAAGAATGAAGTTCACCAAGCACATACTTAGATGGGGGAGCTGGATGGAAAGCTAAGCAGATATGACCAGATGGACATATCATGAACATTAACACCTTTACTGACTTTGGGAAGGGAACTAGCAGTTGCTTCCTAGGGGTCTTTAGCATTTGTCCACCTTTTGGTGTTGATACAGCTAGCTGCACGGGAAATCAGAATTGTCCCTAATTACTCTTCCCCCCAACCCCCACCCTTCTTTGTGTCAAGGGAATAAGGACTCGTTAATGGTATGTAGGGCCACCCAGGCTGACTAGGATAGTTTGACTCACTTGGAACTTTAGTACCACTGTTCCCTGACTCCTTCTCTTCCTCTGCAGGGCCTCAAGTACAGTTGATGGAGCTTTGGGAGGGAATTGGAAGTACTAAGAATGGGTGTTGCTTGGTTGGTCCCTAACAGAGCTTGCCTGTTTCTCTCACAGTGAGTGCCACAACTCTTCTGACCGCATCAAGGTACGTGTGTGGGATGAGGATGATGACATCAAGTCGAGAGTAAAGCAGCGGCTAAAGCGAGAGTCTGATGATTTCCTTGGCCAAACCATTATTGAGGTTCGGACACTGAGTGGTGAGATGGACGTCTGGTACAACTTGGGTAAGGAAACAGGACCAGAGAAAGTTGCTGAGAAGTGATAGTATGAATGGAAAATCTGGGGGGAAATCCTATCTACTAAAACCATCACTCAGTCCCTAAAGCATTCCTCTATACAGAGTGTGTCTTACCTGCAGAGAACTGATCATGTGTGGAGATGGGGGACAGAGGTGTGGAAGTGGCTGGAACTCACTCTGGCTGGACAGTCTTTAGATTTCAGAAGGCCCTTTAATCTTCATACCTCTAATAGTTTTAGCTCCCTATTCTCTTAATGGCATAAGAGAATTTCTATGGGGAATATTTGGGATATTTATAGACGATGTGGTCGCTGGAGTAAGTTCACCCTATTAGGTGAACCCCTACATCAGTGCCTCTTTTTCCTTGGGTGAAGCCAGGATGGGGGATGTCTGTGTTCTCTGTAGTTGCATTGGTGTCAATCTCTGGTTCCTTTCTTCTTAGAGAAGAGGACAGATAAATCAGCCGTCTCAGGGGCTATCCGACTACAAATCAGTGTGGAGATCAAGGGGGAGGAGAAGGTAGCACCATATCACGTGCAGTATACGTGTCTCCATGAGGTGAGCCAGCCCTTGGTAGATGGGGGTGTCAGAAAGCTGTGCTGGGAAGGGTCCTTGACAGTAAATAGGATTGCTGAATGGTTGAAGATCTGGGACCTGTTTTTTATTCACTGTGCTACCCCAGACAGCCCAAGTAATAGTCCCAGCCTTAGTTCTCTTTCACTAATGTAAGTGCAGCCTACTGGGACCACACGAGGAACTAGCAATGACTTGAAAGACAGAATTTCTTTGGCACCCTATTCACATTCTCCTGGACTTTACCACCAGTTTTTGGTTTTGTTTTTAATATGTATTTAACTCTTTCCTTTGCTCTGTCTCCTGCAGAACCTTTTCCATTACCTCACAGACATTCAGGGTAGTGGAGGAGTCCTGATCCCTGAGGCTCGAGGAGATGATGCATGGAAGGTGTACTTTGATGAAACTGCCCAAGAAATTGTGGATGAATTTGCCATGCGCTATGGCATCGAGTCCATATATCAGGCCATGACGTGAGGCTCCCCTGGGGCTTTGGGAAGTGGCTGCTAACTTGTAGGGAGGTTAATGAAGGCACATGGAGAGAGTGAACAGGTCCTTAGTGGGGTAGTATGCAGTGAATTGTTGCTTTCCTCCCTGAGCTGAGGTGAGGTGGGTCTGTGCCCCAAGGCAAAGAAAATATATGTATAAAGGGAGTATGTTTATCAGGAATTCAGGGAGAAGGTATTTATTTGTCTCCCCCAGGGTTCAGAGATAGGAAGGGCAAAGGGCATAAGAGGGTATGCCAGGACAAACTTGCCCAAACATCACAGGCCTGAGGAGATACCGCATGTGTGTTTATGTATATGTGTGTGATAGGCAAGCTTTCATAGATTCACTAAACTATAGGGAAAGCAGCTGTGTCTGGAGTTGACCAAGACTCCTATGCCGGAAATTTTTGCCTACTATGAGAAGAGGTATTGTTTGTATATTGCTGAGACTGCCACTAGAGCTGTGCTCAGGAAGCAGCCCCAGGTAAACAGAGGGTAACTATTTCCCTGAATGTGCTTCGTTTATTCTAAAAACTTTTATTGAGTTCCTTTTATGTGTCACACATTGTTCTAGGTGCTGAGAACACAAAGATGAATAAGATGGGGCTTCTGTGCTTGGGGAACTGAGTCTAGTAGGAAAGAGAGACCAGTAAACAATTACAGTATAATATGATCAGTGCTATGGTAGAAGTAATAACAGGGTATTATGAGAGCATCAGAATTTTAGGGGAGGCATGTGAGGGAAGCCATTAAAGAGATGACACTTGAACTGAGTCTTGAAATACAGGAAAGGTAGAAGAGCATTTCCGGTAGGGCATGTGCTGGGGTGTTGAGATGCAGCTGAACATAGAATATTCAAGGAATTACGGGAAGTTCATTATAGATGGCAAGAAAAAATATGGTGAGGAATGGGCTTTGAGAATGGCTTCCCTACCATTCTTACTCTGTTCATTCTCCCTGTATGATTTCATTCAAACCTATGACCTTAACCACTACTTCTGGGCTAGGGACTCCCAATTTTTTTTTCCAGATCACACCTTTTCCTGAATTTCAGATCCACTGTCATCTGCTTCCTTAGTATGCTAAATTCCAAATCAACATCATCTCCACCAAATATGTGATATCTTCCTATATTTCCTATTTTAATAAATGGAACAATTTTCTAGGCAGGTGTCCACACAAATTTAGGAGTCGGCATAAACTTTTCTTTCTTAATTACTACTGCCCCTTTAAATCCCCACATCCAAACTGTAAAACCTGGATTCTATCTCATAAAAATGTTTTTAACCTATCACTATTACTATAGCACAATAATAATGATAATAATAACAACAACTCCCTTGTGCATTTCCTTATGTCCCAGGCACTGGTCTAAGCACTTGATGAATTTTAACTCATTTAATTCTCATATTAACCCCGTGAGGGGGTATCATTATCTTTCCCATTTTAGGTAAGAAAACAGGCATAGAGAAGCTTACGTAATTTATCCAAAGTCACTGAGTAAGTGGTGGAGCTGTGAATCAAAACCAGTCTTGCTCTAGAATCTATATTCTTTTTTTTTTTTAAGATCTTATTTATTTATTTGAAAGTGAGAGAGAGAGAGCATGAGCAGGGGAAGAGGGAGAAGCAGGCTCCTCGCCGAGCAGGGAGCCCGATGGCGGGGCTCAATTCCAGGACCCTGGGATCATGCCCTGAGCCAAAGGCAAACGCCCAACCGACTGAGCCACCCAGGCGCCCGTAGAATCTATCTTCTTAACCATTTCTCTGTTCCATTTAGTGCTTCATTGCTTCTTTTCTGAATGATTGCAGTAACTCTTCAACTGCTCTTTCTGTCCTCGTCTCATCTCTCTCCAAGCCTTCTTTTCCAATTTATCATCAAAGGGAACTTTCTGAAAGACTAATCTGATCACACTGTGCCTTTATGTTAAAATTTGCCATGGTATTGAGGATAAACTCTTCTATTAACTATTCTGTGCCTGCTTCTCTTCTCTCACTTCTTGGTATTCCTCTATCAAATACCTGAACAGTGGCCATAACTGAGGTTTCAAATGAATCAGTCTCTCATGAATATGTTTGTCTTTTGCAATGCAATTTCCCTTTGCCTGCACACTTCTCCATTTGATTAATTCCTACTAATTCTTTAAGACTTGGTTCAGCCATCTCCTCTTTGAGAAATCTTATTCTAATCCCTTTCAGCCCCCAACCATTCTGATTGAGGTGCTCTTCTTGTATGTTTCTACAGTGGTTTTGCCTAGCATGCCTTCGCTTATTGACTTTCTAACACTTCCTTTCTCTGCCAGCCTATCACATCTTTGGATTCTAGCACCTAGAACAGGGCCTGGCACATGGTAGGCATTCATTGAATGTATATTTGAATGAATCAATTGTGAAGATCCTTGTATGCCAAGGTGATGGGGAAGCCTCATACACACCAATGAGCTCTTTTAATTACTTAGTTTTTGCTGCAAGCCCTGAAGAGTCTTTGAGGCTGAGGATGCTATTTTTCAGGCACTTTGCATGTTTGTCATCCAAGTACATGTGTCCTGGTGTGCCAGCAGTGATGAGCACCTTACTGGCCAACATCAATGCCTACTATGCCCACACAACTGCCTCCACCAATGTCTCTGCATCTGATCGCTTTGCAGCCTCCAACTTTGGGGTGAGTGTGATGTAAAAACATACCTACTCATTTGTTATCAGTTAATAAAGTTTGATTTTTCCCAGTAGGCACTATAGAGTTGTTTAATATGCCTAAAATTCAGAGAGCTGACACTTAGATGAACTTGTTTCCTTATGGGTGTGTAGACTATGCTAATAGACTCTTCCTTATTTCATTATGGATAGGTAGACTTACTAATGGACTGTCCTCAGACATGGATACATGAGAGAAAGTGGAATAGCATCACTGTGGTTTCAGGGGTACCACCTGGGCTGAGCCAAGAACTTGGTTGAGTCACCATGTTCCTTAGTCCTGCAAGTCCACAAGTAGACCTTTCTTAATATTATTTTGTTTCTCTCTGACTCATACCACTAAAGTTCATATGCAACTGATGTCTGAGTGAAGATTCCAGTATATTCCTGAGCCTATCCCTTTTCTAGTGTTTGGACTGTTTACTCTATCCAGGATGTGCCCTTTCCTGGTTTTAAGTTACTTGAGAAGTTGAATCTTTATTCAGAATGTCACCTGACACAAGTTCAATGTAAACCGAATGAAATATCTTTGACCAACCACAAAGATTACCTCTTAAGGAATAACATTACTGGGGCTACTCCCAAATCTACTGGGTCTCTGAGCCCTGTTTTTTGGAAGTAACCATCTTTCCTTTTTTGATAGAGTCTTTCTGTAGATTAATTAACATCATTAATTAAGCCACTCAAACATGTGTTCCATTATCTCATCCCATTATATATATTTATGTAAGTCCTAATGATCTATCATACAATCAGTGTATGAGTTCTAAGAGTGCTATACCAACAGCCTATAGGCATGTGATTCCACATTTAGTTATACCTTTTCTATAAAAATCAACTATTAAAATAGTGTGGTGAGCACTGGGTGTTCTGTAAGACTGATGAATCACAGACCTGTACCCCTGAAACAAATAATACATTATATATTTATTAAAAATAATATAAAATACAAATAAATAGTATATGTTATTTATTTTAACATTAAACAAGTATAAACTAAGGAAAATGATATGGAATGTGGTTGAAAGAGAAACCCTCTCAGGTCTGCTTGATCACCTTCCAAATGAATCAGATTCCTTACTGGTATGCTGTGGCTATTTAACTGTTAAGAGCTGCCTGAAGGTAAGTCAGGAGACCACAGACTCAGGAACAAGTTGGAGAATGTGTTTGAGTTTCCTTTTATTTGACTAAGAGGAGTTAGAGTCCCAAAGGGATGGAGATGCATGGGTCATCTCCTGTTGACTCTTACACAGAAAGAGCTGTTTCTCTCCTGGGGACTTCCTGTCCCCTTGCCAGTGTAAGAAAATTCCCCAGTTTGAGACAGAGCCACTAAGAGATGGAACAGGGGCCACCTATCCCAGTCCTCCGTTACATTGTTCGTTCTCATGGGCAGTGATGAGATAGGATGTGTCCCTAAACCAGTGTCTCCTCCTCACCCAGAGATGGTTCTGTTTCTGCTACAGTCTAGGGAGCTCAGATTATTTCTCTCTTCCCTGTTATTTGTTTCCTACCCTCAGAAAGAGAGATTTGTAAAGCTACTGGACCAGCTGCACAACTCACTGAGGATTGACCTCTCTACCTACAGGGTGAGTGAAGACATGACTGTGAGATGGAATAACAGATAATATCAAGCTCTGTCTAGAGAGCCTGTAGTCCAATCTTGGCTATAAAGATTAAACGCAAGGAAAATTGGTCCCTGTCATCACACCTACGTACATGCCAGTGCCACTGACGTCTGTGGTTCTCCAAACTCCAAAGACCATGCAGTGTGTAAATAGCAAGTGTGGCTGTTTTTTTATAGGCAGTTGGCTTTCCAACCATACTGATGTCACTCTGTCAAATCCTCTGATGACATTCTCATTAGAGTCGATAATCTCTTCCAGATTATGGAAGAGGATAATCTCTTCCAGAAATGCCCCTTATATTTCTTTTTTGTATTTTTCATGTTCTCTTATTTTTCAAGGGAGGTATGAGAATCTGGCTAAGGGGAGAGAAAGAGTAGCTTGGCTTGGGCAAGTGATTTGTAGCAAGGGTCATGTCCATTCCTAGAATGGAGGGAGGAAATAGATATACTAGGAGAGGGGGTACCAGGGACAGGGCAGGACAGGAAAATGGGCAGTTTCCCAATTCTTCCTAAGTTAGATCTTCTTAGAATGGTTTTGTTACTTGCTTTAAAGTGTTGTGAATTTCCAGAACAGGCAATATACCCGCATTAAAAAGTAAGTATAAAAATAACCTCAAAGTCAAAAAGAAGTGGAGTTTTAATTATCTGCAATTTCAGTGCCCTCCATTTGCATGAATAATGGAGAGTTGACAGTATATCTTATATTTGGCATGTAATTAGCCATTTGAAAGTTTAAAAAAGCAACCCTTAAAATGGAGAGTGGCTCAACATCTCCCTTCAGCTCTCCTTGGCAGCTTCCTCCTAAAACTCATGCCAAGGGGAATGAAGTGAGGCATGGTGGGAAGGTCCTATAAGGAAGTCACTCCAAAGCAGTTTTGCTCAGAGCTCTGCCATCTTCTGGCTCTGGAAGGAATGTGGGATAGCTGAGGTCCCTTGCACAGAAAATATATATCCTTGATCTAAGTCTGGTCTGTAGTGTGGCTCCACTTATATTCCACAATATACAGTTACATTGTAACTTTTGAAGAACTTACTGTTTAGGTATAAGAATCTTCACGCAAGAAAAATGTGTGTATAAAATGTGTGTGTTTCTGTCTGTGTGTTCATTTGTGCAAATGCTTACACATTGCATGGGAAGTAGGGTTGGTGTAAGAGGTGTTGCTTGCTGGGCTGGGGATTATTAACCCCTGCTTTAGGCAAGAGCCTGCCTTTGTCATAGAAAAGAGAGGGGAGACTTTAGTTTTACAGCTTTTTTGTTCAGCTCAACTGGGGAAAATCCCAGTGGGTAGTAGTTAAGGAAGCTTTTTATTTCATTGCTTTTGGCAGGGAAGGCTTTCATATTTCTCTTTTCCTTTCTTAAATTTGCTTAATTTGCAACAGAATAATTTCCCTGCTGGAAGCCCTGAGCGGCTTCAGGACTTGAAGTCAACAGTGGATTTGCTGACCAGCATTACTTTCTTCAGAATGAAGGTAAGAGATAAACTGGGCTAGATGGTGATGGACTGGGCACCTGGCCACAGGAACATGGAGAATAAGAATCATTGGGCACAATCTGAGGCTATAGTATTCATCACCTCTAAGCCCACATTTCCATACACCTGTTCCCTGGGTTACATCCGAGAAGACTGTGGATCAGCAGGGATGGGATGGGCAGTTCTCCCAATCAGGTATCCTAGCAATTTCATCCTAGGGCAGGATGCAGGGACCCATCAAGAGATGCTGGGATCTGGAATAGGTTGAGGGGAATTCTAGGAGGAGATCACTCAGGTGAGCAGGACCATGGGCCCATATTTCTTTTATTAATTGGCAGGTGCAAGAACTGCAGAGCCCTCCAAGAGCCAGCCAGGTGGTAAAGGATTGTGTGAAGGCCTGTTTGAACTCCACATATGAATATATCTTCAACAACTGCCATGACTTGTACAGTCGCCAGTACCAGCTGGTAAGAGGTTCAGGATCAGGTGGGACCAACTGTCAGTGGCCCTTGGATCCTCAGTTTTCCTTTACCGTGGTTATGGTGGAAGGGAGCTCAGGACAAAGTCCTTGATGTTCTTGAGGGTGAGTAAAGTGTAGAGTGAGGACCTTCTAGACCACGTGAGACATTTGTGGATTGATAGGGACCATTGGACGAGATGTGACATAACTGAGGTGAGCACAAGTGGCAACAGTGAATTTTAGTTTGGTGCTAAGTGATCAAAATTTGGGCAGTTTTTGGGGGGGGGGGTAGGTGAATTCTCAGTCCATCTCAGAGTCTCTTTTCTCTCCCAAGCTTATTTGTTCCAGGCTGCCTTCCTCTGGGATACGTAGTTGTCTCTCTGAACTACCGGCTTGTGGAAATTTAACTTTTCTCTTTGACACTTCTCTCTGCATAGCATGGTCTTCTGAGATTTGTTCATTAGCTAACTGTCAAGGCTGACTCTTATCCTTCTGTGAGGCTGAGCTACTTCACTTGTTTTATGTTGACATCCTAACCTACTACCTGGTGACTGTGTATATTTTTCTAGATCCTTTCAATAGTATCTTTTATTTTCTAATTTCAAAGCCAGAACTTCTTTTTGGGTCTAGTTACTAGTTTACAGTTTCTGTCTTAATAATTCTTTTCTTTTTTTAAAAGATTTTATTTATTTATTTGATAGAGACACAAGAGAGGGAACACAAGCAGGGGGAGTGGGAGAGGAGAAACAGACTTCCCGAGGAGCAGGGAGCCTGACGTGGGTCTCGATCCCAGGACGCTGGGATCATGACCTGAGCCGAAGGCAGACGCTTAACGACTGAGCCACCCAGGCACCCCCTGTCTTAATAATTCTTGCACACCATGAATTTGCAGAATAGATTCCCTTTAGTCCAACAAATATGTATTGAATGAGTCAGGTCTGAGGAAAGCATAGTGCTCCTTCAATTAGTTCGCAGTTTCTAAGCATATATATAACTCAAATTAAAGCAGTCTGTGAGAAGTGCCTTGAAACCTCAGTAAAATTGAAGGGATTCCAAGAAGGAAGAAGTCAGATATTGGGAAAAGCTACTAAAACAAGGGCATTTGACATAGACCTTAAAAGGCAGTAGGATTTGGACAGCAAATGATGGGAGGACAACCTAAATCTCTTAGACATTTGCTTATGGTGAATACATCCAATTTGTAATGCTTCCTAGGAGTACCTCACTTAAGACTAAAATCTTGTTCACACTGCCTCCTCCGATTCCCAAATGCTCTTTTTGTGCCAGCCCTATCTTTAAGGCTTCCTCCTTTTAAGTTTTATAAAACATCCCATTGGTTCTGAAGCTCATGTTTAGCTTTGTTTGTTTAGCTTACCACACTCTGGGGTCCTTTGTCATCCATCTGTGAATTCTCTTTGGTTGGAGAAGACACTGTTCTCAGCTTTGATTTTTCAACTATGAAGGGGTATATCTGAATATTTAGTCTCTGTTCCCTAGCATGAGATGAACCTGGACTTTAAAAGAGGGCTTATAAACCATTCAGGTACTTTATTTAGCCTTTGAATTTTGCCAACTGTTTTTTACTTTTTTTCACTCTCATTTTCTCATTATTCATTATTTACACTGAGGTAAACCATTGGTGTCTTTTTATTTCTTTCTACTCACCTTCAGTAATTGGTTCATTTATCCATTTATTCCCTTAACAAACTGAACATGTAGGGATGTAAAGTTAAGACACATCTCTGTTTTTGGAGAGATCATCATTTGGTGGGGAGGCAGGTGGCACAAATTACTAGATTTATTTATTTTTTTAATTTATTGGGTTTTTATTATTATTATTACTGAATTTCATTGTAGTTGCCAAAGGTTCATAGAGCGTGTTCTGGGAACCTACAAGAGAGGCATCTAAGCAGACCAGTGGTGTCAGGGAAAACTTTTCAGAAAAGGTAAAGCTCAGCCTGAATTTTGAGGAATGAGCAGGAGTTGGTTAATGAAAGGGGTTGGGGAAGAGGGATTACCATATAGAGGTAGTAGAATGTTTGGAGGTACAGAATTGTAAATGAGTATGTTAATTTGAAAAAATATAAGCAGTTTAATTTTTTTAAAGATTTTATTTATTTATTTGATAGTGAGAGAGGGAACATAAGCAGGGGGAGTGGGAGAGGGAGAAGCAGGCTTCTCGCTGAGCAGGGAGCCCTATGCGAGCCTCGATCCCAGGACCCTGGGATCATGACCTGAACCAAAGGCAGACACTTAACCGACTGAGCCACCCAGGTGCCCCGAAATATAAGCAGTTTAATTAGGGTAGTTACAATGTCAGGCTTTGGAGTTCAGCTATCTGGGATCAGATCTTGGTTCTACTTTTTATAGCTATAAGACCTTGGACATTTAACCTCACTGCCTTCAGTCTCCTCTTCTGTCAAATTAAGGTGATGGTAATTTCTATCCAATGGAGTTGTTAGGATTAAATGAGATAAACCATGTAAAGTTCTTAGGGTGCCTGGCACCTAATAAGCACTAAATAAGTGGTGGTTGTGGGGCGGTGATGGCTGCAAGGAAAGGGAATTGGTAAGGTGTGGGGTTGAGAAGAGAGGTCATATTATGAAGGCCTTTTGTGTTAAGCGGTGGAATTGAAACTTATTGAAGGCCTTGACTGAATGCCACTGAAGGGCAGAGGAGTCACGCTATGAGAGAGTCCTTGCAGAAAGATCACTAACAACTATGTGGAAGAGGATTAGAATGAAGATTAAAGATCAGTTAGGAGACCCTTGAATGATAAGGATAAGGTAGTGGCAGAAAAAGTTAAAGGAAGAGATGTATTTAAGTGATATTAAGCAGGCAGAATCCACATTCTGTGGGTTCTGTCCTGGTTTCTAGTAACTTCCTTGTAATGCAGGCTTATTAAGGACTGTGGAGACTGTGATGACATATGGCATCGCACATAAAAGTCCTATCCCTCTTCTTCTGGGTGGTTCCAACTTTGCTTTTGTCCCAGTGGGAGATAAATGTCCATTCCAGCAGTGACCCCTCCTTCTCCTGTCCAGGGTCTGAATGTAGAACTGCTTCTCCTTTCCTGAGATTCACCATTGTATTCCTTTACCTCTTCCCAACCAAGTCTTTTTTTCTTCCCCCGGCTTTACTGGAATATAATTGATGTATAACATTGTGTACGCTTAAGGTGTGCAATGTGATGATTTGATACGAGTGTATATTGTTTACCACAGTAAGGCCTGCGCCTCACGTAATTATCATTTTTTGTTGTTATGGTGAGAACATTAAAGCTCTGCTCTCATAGCATCTTTCCAGTATATAGTATGGTATTGTTAGCTATAGTCAACCTTGCTGTACCTTAGATCCCCAGAACTGACTCATCTGAACTGAAAGTTTGTACCTGTTGACCAGCATCTCACTATGTCCCCTACCCCTCATCTCCTGCCGAACACCATTCCACTCTTTCTATGAGTTTGATGTTTTTAGATTTTACACAGACGTGAGATCATACAGTATTTGTCTCTTTCTGTCTGATTTATTTAATTTAGCATAATGCCCTCAAGGTCCATCCTGTTATCACAAATGACAGGCTTTCCTTCTTTTTTAAGGCTGAATAATAATTTGTTATATTTATATACCACATTTTCTTTATCCTCTCATCCACTGGTAAATACTTAGGTTGTTTCCATGTCTTGGCTTTTATGAGTAATACTACAATAAACACGGAGGTACCATTAAATATTTGAGATAGTTACTTCGTTTTCTTTGAATATATACCTAGAAGTGGGAAGACTGGATCATAGGGTAGTTTTCTTTTCTTTTTTTTTTTTTTAGGGTAGTTTTCTTTTTAATTTTTTGTGAAACCTCCATACTGTTTTCCATAGTGGCTCTACCAATTTACATTTCTTGCCAGCAGTGCACCAGGATTCCCTTTTCTCCATAACCTGGCCACCATTTGTTATCTCTTAGCTTTTTGAAAATACTCATTCTAACAGGTGTGAGGTGACATCTCTTTGTGGTTTTTATTTGCATTTTCCTGATGTTTAGTGATATTAAATACTTCTTTATGTACTTGCTGGGCATTTGTTGTTGTTTATTTACTTGAGAGAGAGAGAGCTGAGCAGGGAGCCCGATTCAGGGTTTGATCCCAGGACCCTGAGATCATGACCTGAGCCAAACTCAGTCTTAACCGACTGAGCCACCCAGGCGCCCCTTGCTGCTGGACATTTGTATGTCTTCTTTGGAGAAAGGTCTATTCAAGTCTTCTACCTATTTTTTAATCAGATTTTTTTGTTTGCTAATGAGTTATATTCCTTATATTTTGGATATTAATCCCTTACCAGATAGAAGGTTGGCAGATATTCTCTCCCATTCTGTAGGTGGCCTTTTCATTTTGTTGATTGTTTCTTTTGTTCTACAGAAACTTTTTGGTTTGATGTAGTTCCACTTGTTGATTTTTGCTTTTGATGTTTGTACTTTGGTGTCATATCCAAAAAATCATTGCCAAGACCATTGTCAAGGAGCTTTTTCTCCTATGTTTTCTTCTGGGAGTTTTATGTTTTCAAGTCTTGTATTTAAGTCCTTAATCCATTTGACTTAGTTTTTGTGAGCGGTATAAGATAGGGGTTCAGGTTCATTCTTTTGCATGTAAATATCCAGTTATCCCAACACCATTTATTGAAGAGACTGTCCTATCCCCATTGAGTATTCTTGGCTCATCAAGACCTTTTCTTATACAGCTAGGCAGATAGCTTCCTAGATAACAGTTCTTCCTCCTAATAGCATTCATGAGGTTAAGGGAAGTCCTTAACCCACTGAAGGTTGGACCCACTTGCATGCTAGGTCTGTGCAGTAGCTCCTGCAGAACTTGAAGGAGCTTCTCAGAGCTGAGATGTATATGTATGTGTGTGATGATGTAGGGGAGGTGTTGGAGGAGACTGCCATTGGGGGTCACATGGAACTAGACCTATTTAGTAATGCTGGAGGGGCAACTTACTTTGGCTGAGGAGTCACTATACTCATAGCTACTGAGAGAATGAAGAAGAGGGGCTGGCATCCTTATGTCTCCTATACTGACCAAACTTATCATATTATGCCCTGGAGCTGGGGAGAGAAGTTCTCTGGGATGGACTGTGTATAAGGACCTCCCAACAGTCACCCCTCTGACAGAACATGGGCAGTCTTGTGGACGACAGGTTCTAGGAAAAGAAGGGTACCTGATTCTAAAGGGTTATGGGGAGGGGAAGAGAAAGAGGAAGATTGGAGACATTCTCCATATTCTACTCTGATTCTCACTGTCTCCTCTGGAACAAGAAACAGGAACTACCTCCAGAGGAACAAGGACCCAGCATTCGGAACCTGGATTTTTGGCCCAAACTCATCACACTCATTGTGTCAATCATAGAGGAAGATAAGAATTCCTACACACTCATTCTGAACCAGTGCGTATCAACCCACTTGGCCCTGTGTGGTTGGTGGTTGGCTTGTCCATCTGTCTAACAGCCTCTTTCTTTCCTATCTCTGTGTGTTTGCAGTGCCACCTCTTCCTCCTGTACGTCCATCTGTCCCTCTGTCCCTTGTATCTGTCTGAGTAACTGTTTCTGGAGACAGGTGTGGAAACATAATGGGGGGCCCTACCTAGACTGAGCCAGCCTCCCTGGAGTGAGAGGCTCCTGGAAATGGCTGCCATAAGAGTCCCAGGGGATCCAGAGATCATGTGTGTATGTGTCTGTCCACTGTGAATAAAGTGGGCTTTCTGACACCCACCTCCTTGCACTTTCTCGTCCACCTTCTTTAGCCTGGGCCTGCCTTCTAGCCTCAACCCTTCTCCTGTGGGCCTCAAATCCCTGCCTTCTGGGCATCCTTTTCCCTGGGCCTACCTTGCCTGAGGGGATCCCCTGCCCCCACTTGTCCTTCCACTGGCTCCTGGGTCCCTTTTCTCCAAAATGAGCCTAGTCCTGTTTCCTAGGCTTCTCCCCTCTCCTACCTGACCTCTAAGAGATTAGGCACATTAGCTTTGGAATCAGTCAAATCAAAAAGCTCTTGCTTTGTTCTCTGACTGTGGCTTCTTCCGTCATCCAGGTTTCCTCAAGAGTTGAATGTGGGAAAAGTCAGCGCGGAAGTGATGTGGCAGCTCTTTGCCCAAGACATGAAATATGCTCTGGAGGGTAAGGGTGTGCCCAAGGCAGTGGGCTGTAGGCCTCTAGTCCAAGCACCTTGTTTGCTGTCCCTTTCCTTTCCCAGACAATTATAAGTTCTGGGTGAATGGTATGGTGAGAAACCAGAGGGATTCTAGGCTGACGTGTCAGGAGTCCTTAGGTAGGCAGAGGTTCAGCCAGAGTAATAATGGAAATGGCTGTGTGGATGTGGATTTCCCCTTCTAGCTTTAGAGCAAGTGCCTGTTTAAGACTTTCCGTAGCCCAAAAATCAACTCATCCCATGCTGGGTATCCTCAAGTGGCCCACTTCCTGGAGTATGAATGGTCTTGTGAAGTTTATCTTTACAGTTTTAAAGAATCGTAGAACCTTAAATACACAGATAAGATTATTTGCTTTTATTAGAGACTGCCTGACCTGGCTTTCCTAAAAAGCTGTTCTGGAGCCAGAAAGATACTTTTTCCCTACCTTCTCCTATAAAGCAATGTCATGGACAAATTACTATTCATCTTTTTCATTCAGCTTATTCTTTTATTCATTTCCTGCTTTGGTTCACAAAGATATCACTGTCTGCCTGTATCCAACTTTCCAATTTATACCCTTCCGTGTTCACTTATTTAGCTGCCTTTCCTGTTGTTTATATATGTTAGTTTGTCTCCTCAGTTTGTGCAAGTGGACCTACAAGGAAAGGGAGCAGTCTGGGGCAAGGACAAATCAGAGTCTGGATCTGTTATTTTGATGGAGTGGCAGGGAAAATGGGTAACCCTCAGACTTAAACTTCTGAGGTTTAGGAGCAGTAAGTTTTGAGGTTGAAAGAAACCTTGAAGATCTGTATTAAGTTTGAGACAGCCAGAGACTGTGCATGCACATTCTGTAATTCTGCCCCAGAGTGATGGCTGTCTCTTTCCCACACTGGGTCAAGCTTGGGGCTGTAGCCCAGGGCTTAGCCTTGCAAGCCAGTGAGGAAGTCACTTGTCCCCTCTCCAGGTAGCACTCAGCAAGCCTAATGGGGGGAGTATGGTCCAAGTTCTTGAAGAATCCCAGCTCTGATGGGTTTTGGGGGGAGAAAAAGATACATACCTGTGAAAAGTGAATCAGTTTTACAAGAGGGATAGTATAAGGTGGGGCAGTGGTTTTCAAACAGCAGTATCTTAGGAGCTAAGAGAAAAGGGAATAGTCAGGTAGGGGGAGAGGGTTGCTGGGCTTCAGGCCTTTCATCTGGTGCCAGTTAAGTCAGTTCTGCTTTTATCAATCTTATATAGGGTTCTAGGTGAGATTTCTTTTGAAAGGGGAGTTCTGCTAATGTTTACAACAAACACAAAAGGATTGAAAACTGCTTTAAAGAAAGAAATAATGTTGACCTGGTTGCAAATCTCACTTTCACCACCTATTCAGCAGTGTGTTCTTAGACCAATTTTTGTGAGCTTGTATTTTCTTATCCGTAAAATGGGAATGATAATAGCATGTTTCATTGAGCTGATAAAGTAATGTGTAACATACTTAGCATACTGCTTGGCATTTACTCGATACTGAATAAATCTTGTTAAGGACAATAAGAAACCCTATAGGCTCATGAGCAGAGATGCAGTGTGAGCATAGTAGCTTTTTTTTTTGAGAGAGAGCGCACGTGAGAGCGAGAGCTTGAGAGCTTGTGAGTGGGTGAGGAGGGGCAGAGGGAGAAAGAGAAAAAGAATCTTAAGCAGGTTCCACACCCAATGCAGAGCCCGATGAGGGCTTGATCTCAGCCCTGAGATCATGACCTGAGCTAAAACCAAGAGTCAGACACTTAACCAGCTGAGTCAAGGGGCACCCTGCAAAGTAGCATTTTTTTTTTAAATTTAAATTCAATTAGCCAAGGTATAGTACATCATTGGTTTTTGAAATAATGTTCATTGATTCATTAGTTGCGTATATCACCCAGCATTTTTATAAGATTTCACATCAGGGGAAAATGGGGCAGCTAGAACAAGGAGAGACTAGAAGCAGGGACTGCAGATGATGTTATAGTAATTTAGGGCTGAGAGGATGGGGTTAGAGCAGAGAACTGGAGAGGGAAGAATGGGTTTTGATAGCCACTGGAAGGAAGTTGTAACAGGACTTCATGACTGTCAGAATATGGAGGCCAAGACAAGGGGAGGAGTTTGGAGACGTGGATGATAAAGGGATAGCGTTGACTCCAACTGTGAAAATGGTATCTTTCATCCAATTTTTTAAAGTCAGTTTTATTGAGGTATAATTTACATACATAAAATAAAAACACTCTAAGAGTATAATTTGATGATTTTGACAAATATACACACTTGTGTAACCACTCTCCTAATTAAAATATAGAACAGAGAGTTTCTTCATGCCTTTTTGCAGTAGATCCTCAGCCCATTCACTAAGTGCTTTTTAAGTATTTTCTATACGTCAGGCACTGTGCTAATTGTTGGAACCCCAATGAGATGAATAAGGCATAGACCCAGCCCTTTGAGAAGCTCACACACCAGTCTAGACAACAGACATATAAATTGGCAGTTCCAGTTCAAAGTTATAAGTGCCACAAAAGGAATAAGGTGCTGAGAGGAGAAGCGTGTAATCCACACCTGTGAAGGCTTCTAGGAGGACCTGAGGAAAGGACCTGGGAATACTTCCTGGAGGAGATGATATACAAACTGAAACCTGAAGGATGGGAGGACTTAGCCAGTGGGGAAGGGAGGTAGTAGTGATGGGAAAAGGAGACCTAGAACATTTTAGGCAGAGGATACAGTATGTTCAGAGATGTGGAGTCTAGAAAGAGCTGTCATGCTTGGGGAACTGGAAGCAGTAGTTCAATGTGACTAGCACGTTAGAGTGTAGGGGGAAGAGATAAATAGGAGATGAAGATAGAAAAGTAGGGCAGCCAGATCATAAAGGAGGTGGTAAGCCATGTTTAAGCTTTTGGACTCCATCCTAAGGCAGTTTGGAGCCACTGAACAGCAATCCCATGTTAAGCAGGGGATGGACATGATCAGGTGTATAATGTGGAAAGGCCACTCAGTGTGGCTATGGTGTGGAAAATGGTTTGGAGGAGGGAAGACCAGGTTGGAGACTATTACAGTAATCCAGGTTAAAGGTGGTGGGAACAAGACCTAGGCAGATGACTGTGTAAAATGGATAGATTCCAGAGAAATTTTGGAGGTGAAATCAATAGGGATTGGTGATTTAACTGGATGTGAATAAAGAGGAAGAAAGACTTGAGGATGATGCTCAGCATTGAGCAAGAGGCTACGATTAGCGTGTGTACTTGGTTCAGCTTCAGCTGGAGATGTTAAATGGTGAAAGATGGGGACTAGAGTTAAACTCTGGCCAAGTGAGATGTTCCATCAAAGTCTTAGAGACAGTACCAGAACCAAAGAGAGATTTGGGGGAGATAGCAGTAAGCTGGATAATTGAAATCATGAGGTTGAAAGAACTCTTCAAAGATGAAAGATGCATGGAAGGAAGAATGTGGAAATCAAGGGCAGGGAAAGATTTAGAGACTTGATTGCCCCTTTTGAGAGATTAACCATCCCTGTACTTCTACCCAGCAACAAAAACCTCAAGCAACTTTACTGGAGCATGACTCCATGGGACTTGTTAGAATAAAGTGTGACCAGTGTTTCAGCAGTCATCCTGTTTCTGTATCACAGAAGTTAATATAGAAATTGAGGTTTGGGACCAGAGTACAGATAATGGATTGACAGAGAAAGGGAGAATTATATATTAAAGGTCCCTAGAAGAAAGCAGTTAGGGAGTTTTGGAGTGATGGAGCAGTACTGTCTCCACTTCTAGTGGGTTACTTAATAGGAAGGAAGGAGAGCCCTCCTCATGGTACCTTTTTATGTCTCTAGGTTCATGGACTGGTTTAAGGAGAGCAGAGTGTGGGGTGGAAGAGAAGGGGCAAGCCCTGAGAAGTCTCTCTGATGTCCTCAGAAGTGGTGCTGCCTGCTGTGCCAGGAGATGAAATTTCCTGGGACTGGGAGCCTTTTGAGGCTGAATCCCAGGCTCCTATTTCCTCCTCAAGTGTCTGTTGTACTAATTCACAAGGGCCAACTGCCGCAGATTGGATTTCTGTCTTGTTGTGGAGGAGCAGCACCCATAGCAACTCAAAGTTAAACAGTAGAGGTCACAAGGACCCTGACCTTCCTTTCTCTGTCGCTGAGTACTCTTCCCCATTTACCTGCTTTTTCCATTATGTTATATGTAAACACACAGTTGGCTTTTGTTATTTCAAATTAATGCTTTATCTATAAAAGGGGTAGATGAAGAGAACCTGTGGTTGTAGCCATTGCTCCAGGCATTCTGGGCAGGGGTGATGTTTGTACCGGATTCTCCAGGAGGCTCTGGAGATCCAGCTAGATGACCCTAAAAGTCCATAATAAGCATCCCAATTTTTACGGCATGATAGCCCTTTCATCTGGCTGTGTTTCCATGGTTTCCAAACTGACTATTCATGTTTGCATACTTCTTGGAGAGTTCATTTTCTGTGTCTCCACTGTGTTCTGGGGCACTTCAGTTTACCTCAAGATGCTGTTACACTCTGGCTGCTTAACTGCACTTTCTATCAGCTTGGGCTCACTTTGGTTTTCCCTGTCTCTGTGTCGTTTTCATTGACTCATTCATGCCACGTATAGCTGCTCATCACTGCATTTAAGCCTATCTGATGGAATGGCCCAGCTACTAGGATTAGAGAAGTTCTAGGAAACCACCATCCCTTTCTAGTCCTGGGCAGTCTCCCCACTAATCAACATTAGCACCCACATCCCTTTCTCCTCTTCTTCACTAGCGGCCAGTATCTCAGTTGACACTTCCAGAAGATAGAGCAAGAAGACTATTGACCCTATCTGAGAGTTTGGCTTAGTCTCTAAAAGAAGATTTGGGCCAGGCTCTTGGAGAGCAGAGTACTGGTAGGGGGAGATGGTTGTGAGGAAGTGGTTGGGAGTCACCCTTGTTCTAGACATCTGATAGAGCTGCCTGACCAGATCTGCTGCTTTGGGAAAGCTCAGAAACCATGGCCTCTACTGTTGGGACCTGACTCAGCCTCCTTCCCCACCACTAGAGCATGAAAAAGACCGGCTGTGTAAGAGTGCTGACTACATGAACCTACACTTCAAGGTGAAGTGGCTTCACAATGAATATGTGCGAGATCTGCCTGCCCTCCAGGGGCAGGTGCCTGAGTACCCAGTGTGAGTCATCATGTGGGCACTACACAGGGAAGGGAAGGGAGTCCCTCCATCTTAGGGGGTGGGCAGGACCTGTGTCTTCAGTTCAGTTTAGCAAGCAAGTCTTTAGACTGCCAGTTCTGGGCTCTTTTGTAAAAAGAGAAAAGCATCAAACTGTGCCCTATCTTCCCAAAGACCCTAGTCTGGGGGGAGCTGTTAGGCACATGGCATATGCCAACCACTGGCTCCAACCCCCAATTTTCCTGCCTGGCTGTAGGTGGTTTGAGCAGTTTGTCCTGCAGTGGCTGAATGAAAATGAGGACGTGTCCCTGGAATTCCTGCGTGGGGCCCTGGAACGAGATAAGAAGGATGGGGTAAGTTGGAGGCTTGGACTGCACAGGGTCAGGCCAGGTGTCCCAGCAATTAGCTGCCAGCAAAAGTTCCAGGGCTTTAGTTTCTTCCCTGTGGAATTCATAAGGAGGACTTTTGAGGGCCAGAGAGCCACAACTGCTGGGCAGAGCCCTTTTGAACCCTACACACTTGGGAAAAGGTAGTGGCTGAAGATGATCCTGTTGTTGGCCTTCTGTAGTTCCAGCAGACATCAGAACATGCACTCTTTTCCTGCTCTGTGGTGGATGTCTTCACACAGCTCAACCAGAGCTTTGAGATCATCCGGAAGCTGGAATGCCCAGACCCCAACATCCTTGCCCACTACATGAGGAGATTTGCTAAGGTGACCATGACCCTCCCTTCTCCCTTCCATTTGCCTTTACCATGCTCACAGCCTCATCACAGGCCCAAGCTCAGTTCCTCTTTGTGGTGACCTAAAGTCTGGCATCACCCCATTCTCATTTGCTTGTGTCTGGGGCAGACTGGTGGGTTTATCTTGGTGTTGTTCTGAGGTTGAGAGGGAGCTTTGTCTCTTACTGTGAGATTCCCCTGTACCTCCCTGCTGTTGTTGTTCTGGGATGACAGGTATGACCTCAGGCAAGATCCCTGTAGGGAGAGCTAAGGGTTCCCTCTCCTTTCCTTTCCTTTTTTTTTTTTTTTTTTTCCAGACCATCGGGAAGGTGCTGATGCAGTATGCAAACATCTTATCAAAGAGCTTCCCAGATTATTGCACAAAGGAGAAAATGGTGAGGGTCAGGCCCTGGAACCCTAGAGGAGAGAGTGGAAGACATTTGAATCCTTGCTTTTGAGGCTATCCTCAGAGCTGAGGGTGGGGGTGATGCTCCTGACTTGATTCCCAGTAGGGCTTCTCTTGAGATTATGACACAAAATAATAAGAACTTGACTAGGAGTTCCTCTGAGCCTCCATTTTGGAACTTTTATTTTCTACTAAGCTAGAGCTTTACTTAATCTTTCTTTTTTAATAAAAAAAAAAAAAGACATTCAAAGAGTTAAAAGGATAATACCATGAACACCTGAGGCCCACCACCCAGCTTAAAAACAGAAACATTTGTTTCTAGTCTTCATTCAAGGAGAACCTCTAAATTGGTTCCAGATCTCAGTGCTTAGGAAGAGATGCATGTGTGTTGTAAATTCCCTGTGGTTTTTGGAGTAGTGTGAGAGAGGTACCCTAGGCTGACAGGTCCTGTGCAGAAAGGAATCAAGACTCAACGGCTCCATCTGTCCCCAAAGCCCTGCATCCTGATGAACAACATGCAGCAACTGAGGGTCCAGCTGGAGAAAATGTTTGAGGCCATGGGAGGCAAGGAGGTAGGTCTCAGGGTGTGGGGTTGCTGCACTTTCCCTTTGTTCCTGAGCCCCCTGGCCATAGAACTCTATCCTCTCCTGACTAGGTATACGTCAGCAATTTAGCTTAGGGTCTGGGCTGGTTTAAGCTGAGAGATTTAAGTAGGCATTGGGGTAAAGGCCCTCTGAGGGAGGAGTTAGGGGCCCAGGCGGGGAGAAGAGTGTACAAAAACCAACTCAGCTGAGCACACTTTCTGTGGATACAGTTGGACCCTGAAGCTGCAGACAGTTTGAAGGAGCTGCAGGTGAAACTGAATACAGTTCTGGATGAGCTCAGCATGGTATTTGGAAACAGGTCAGTGGCCCCAAACACACAGCCGTAAGAGCCAGGTGTGGCCCCTGGCCATTCGCAAAGCCCGTGCCCCCTACCCTCCATCCAGCTGCAGGTGTGTGGATCTTCCCTCTCCTCCTGTTGGCTGTCCCTGTTGGAGCTGCACCAGGAGTATGCTGGAGTGGGACTGAATAGCTGGTGCTGCTCCAAGGACAGTGTCTATTTGGGCAGGGGAGGGCTGCACTGCGGGCACATGTGTAGTTTTCAGGTGCGGATTGATGAGTGTGTTCGACAAATGGCTGACATCCTGGGCCAGGTGCGGGGCCCAGGGAATGCATCCCCCAACGCCAGGGCCTCAGTGGCACAGGATGCAGATAGTGTGCTCCGGCCCCTCATGGACTTCCTGGATGGCAAGTGAGTACAGCGCTTGACTGTCCTGTGGGATAGGCAAAGCAGAGGCAATCAGATGGAGAAGCCTGTCAGGGAAGGGGGCTCTCAAACTCTCAACTCTAGTCTTACCTGTTCCTTGGGCCTACAGCCTCACACTCTTTGCCACTGTGTGTGAGAAGACAGTCCTGAAGCGTGTACTGAAGGAGCTCTGGCGAGTGGTAATGAACACAATGGAAAGGATGATTGTTCTACCCCCACTCACTGACCAGACGGTAAGGACACTCCCCTTCCACTTCCTCTGGCTGTCTCCCCTGTCTTGCCCCACACTTCCTGATCGAGTTTGGAGTCCTCTGCTTTTGACCGATCCCCTCTCTGCCCAGGGCACCCAGCTGATCTTCACTGCTGCCAAGGAGCTGAGCCATATTTCCAAACTCAAGGTACTGTGGAGTTATGGGATCCTTCTGAGGCTGGGGGTGACAGGGTGCCAGGAGGAAGGAAATTTGAGCTTTGGAGACAGAAGAGGAAGAGAATGAGAGGAACATGTAGTGTGAGTTGGTGGGTGGGGGAAAGACTGTCATGACAGCCCCAAGCTGTCCTGATGCTGTTGCTTTCTCTGGGTTTCCAGGACCACATGGTACGAGAGGAAACCCGGAGTCTCACTCCAAAGCAGTGTGCCATCCTTGACCTTGCTCTGGACACCATCAAGGTGGAGACCTCCCCCTTCTCCAGACAGTCCTACTGCCCTACCTCAGTCACACTACCTCGTGGCCCTGGCATTCCACTCTGCCAGACTGATGTCCCCTGGGCTCTTGCCACCCCACATCCAGAAGGGAGTGATTTTTTTATGTCTGTTTCTTTCTCTGCTATGTCCATATTTCTGCTTGGGAGCAACCAAAAGTTACCTCCTTTATGGTCTCAGATTACCACAGACCCAGAGCACTTATTCCTGGGTTTTGAGTACAGTTCAGTTTACTTAGTTCCTCGTTGCCATTCCTGAATATTTTCCACTGGGAATTAATCTTCCAGGTCCTCATACCCCAGATCTAGCAGAAATTTCCCTCTTCCGCTTATATATAAATTCATTTGGGTTTTCTACTACCCATTCCTTCACTCAACCAGGCAACATATGCACATGGCACTGTGCACTATGAAGGATACAGAGAGAATCAGATATAGTTCCTAGATTTAAGATCCTTATAATTTGGTAAGTCTGTAATAAGGCAGGTACACATGAACCGTGATGGCAGGGCACTTGGAAGAGGTTTGTCATAAGTATAATGTTCTCTAAAAGAGTTCAGAGGGGTAAAAGAGCACTTCTGGCTACTCTCTCTGCCTGAAATGCTTCTATTCCATATCTTTGCTTGTCTGGATACATCCATACTTCATAGACCTGCATCCAGGAATGTGGCCATCCCTTACTGCTCCTACCCAAATAATACTCTTCACCTGAGAGACTGTGACTCTATGTGGTATTCCTGATCTTGTTTATTGAATGGCTTATTGTCCTCACCATCCTCTTTTGGCATCTTCACTGAGCTTCTGCTCAGATGTGATTTCTCTGAGGACAGAAAGCTGCCTCTCTGTAAGGGGAGAAGGCTGTAGCAGGTATTCTTTTGTCTTTCAGCAATACTTTCATGCTGGAGGTAATGGGCTGAAGAAAACCTTCCTGGAGAAGAGCCCAGATCTGCAGTCCCTACGCTATGCCCTGTCTCTGTACACACAGACCACAGACACACTCATCAAAACCTTTGTGCGCTCACAGACTGCCCAGGGTAAGGCCCAAGAACTTTGGGTCCCTATCTCCACTCCTTGATACATTTCTGCCTCTAGGGAGTCAATATCTTCCAGCCCTAAAGGAGGATCTAGGTACTTCTTCAGAGAGCCTATCAAATTCAGATCCCAGGATTTCTTGAGGGACCCCAGTGCTCACCCCCACACCATACCCATACCAGACAGGTAAATCACAGGGACCTGGGAAATATGCCTGAGATTCTTTTCCCAGATATTGCCCTGCTAGTGCATGTTTATCAAGGAGTGTACCCTGTCTGTTAGGAAGTATCTGTCAGGAAGCCTTGAGAATGCATGGTTGAGACACTGATGAAAACTGATAGCTTTGGGAATCTTGTTGGAAGTTGTCCTGGGGAGAGAAAGCAAAAGACTACAGATTGGTGTGGATGAGGAAAAAGACTAGGAGAGTCAAACTATGGGAGCAGTTGAAGAGAGGATATGGATCATGGGGCTCTGTGCATATCTGAGGTTCCAGCCTCATGGGTGATGCTAATGCATAGGGACCCAGGCAGCTGGTTTTCTCCCAGGGACTTCCAGTCCTTAGAACCCCTCCTTGTCTTAGGCGGGCCTCTCTATAACAAAACACATCCATCTAGATATGGTTCAGACTGAAATTCTGCCCAGGGCCATGTGAAATTCTGCCCCTAGCCCTGGAGCAGGGCCCTCCCAGGAAAGACTTTCAGGCACATTTGTTATTTCTTCTTCCAGGGAAACCCGGTGTGATGCCTGGAGGAATGAATCTGATGGCGGGAGTGGGAGGATTTAGGCCTTCCTGAGCTGTGGATTCAGAGCACAGAGCTGACCTCAAGGGGAAAAGGGACCTAAGCAGTTAGACTAGAGTTGATGGAAGGTGAAAAGATGCAAGGGACTTGCTCCATTTTCCACATCTGTTCTTTTTTTTTTTTTTTCCCCACATCTGTTCTTATTTCAAGTCCAGGATGGGAAGAAGAGAGAGCAAAGAAGTTATGAACCTTGCTCAAGGGAACAGGGAGATCTTTTACAGAGCTGTACATGGAAAGACCTGTAACATCAGGGGAGGATCTGAGTTAATCCAGAAAGGCTTTTTAGAAATCCTGAGCTTTAGGCTAGAAGTAAAGATGAGGAAAGGCTGAAATGGGCACATATGTGGTAAGAGCAAGGGTGGATACTGCAGGGAGGATCCGAGTGTGTGTGTGTACCTTTTGTACCCATTGCTTTATCAGTTAAGGCCTAGGAAATTAGACCCTACAATGGCTCTCTTTCCTGGCCTGATGGTCTCAAATACCTTCTCTCTGTATGTTCTTTTGCTTTTCCCCAATGATCTGGTTGACCTTTGACCCATGAAGTTTAATTTGTAGCACTGGGGCATTGACCCCAGCTCTTTGACCTCTCTTCACCTCATCTCTGTGCTCCATCAGAATATGTGTAGAGTTGCTCCGAATGGCTGTTAACTCCTTAGACCTCTAACTGATTCTTCTTTCTCTGTCCTGCTGCTGCTACTACTTCTTGACCTGCCTGTTCTCACTCAGTGCATGATGGGAAAGGTATTAGGTTTACAGCTAATGAGGACATTCGGCCAGAAAAGGGTATGTTGTATACCTTGCACATGTGAATCTAACATAAGCTAACACTGTTCCCTATGAACTAGAATGAGCTGCTTAGGCTGGCGGTAGGGGAGCTATGTGTCAAAGTCTAGAAGCTTTATCCCAAGTCTCAGAGATGAGCGATGTATTCATACAGTCTGAGATGGGGTTGACAGTAGTTCTATCTTCAGGATTCTCCCACCCCTCCACTTGAGGACAAAGTTTTACCTGGGTTGCAGGGTACTGGTATTTTCCCAAAATAGTGAGACCTCTGCTGAAGGGAGCCTACAAACTAGCCAGAGAGGGGTGCCTGGGTGGCTCAGTCGTTAGGTGTCTGCCTTCAGCTCGGGTCATGATCCCAGTGTCCTGGGATCGAGCCCCGCATTGGGTTCCCTGCTCCACAGGAGGCCTGCTTCTCCCTCTCCCACTCCCCCTGCTTGTGTTCCCTCTCACCCTGTCTCTCTCTGTCAAATAAATAAATAAAATCTTAAAAAAAAAAAAAAAACTGGCCAGAGATTGGGACTGGGAAGTCGCTTGTAGAGGGGTCCAGGTGTGAATAGGACAAAGTCTGAGCAGGGCAGCCTCCCCACCAGGGGCCTCCTGGAATCTGAGGATAAGTGGGAGAGTAGAGAGTATTACCTTTGGCTAGAAGGGACCCACATTGTTCCACTGAGACACCATGGGGTGGACACAATTCCCAGACAAAGATACAAGGTGGCAGTACTGTCCTTCTCTCTAATGTCTTTCAATGAAAAATTCTTCAGCCTAGGAGATAAGAGAGGTTTGGGGAGCCTGAGAGATTCCTGGTGCATTTTTGGAACATTTCACCTGAGATGTTGTCAGCCTAATGTATTATACATTATACACAGCTTCATTCTTTATCCCCTTGCTTTCCCTTCTCCCATTGCTTACTTCCCCATGGCTACTTTGGGTGATTGCTTCAGGCTTTAGGGTGTAAGGTGGTGGCCTCCTAACTCCTCAGTTTTACCTGGGATAATTAGGCCTGAAGTCTTAAGAGTTCTTCAGTGAGGGATCAACTGTCCATCTGTCCTTCAGGGTCTGGTGTGGATGATCCTGTGGGAGAAGTCTCTATTCAGGTGGACTTGTTTACACATCCTGGAACTGGGGAGCACAAGGTCACAGTGAAAGGTGAGTGGCACAGACTTACAGGTCTCAGACCTTTTCTTATGCAGTGGCCTCATCAGTTGAAGGCAGGGGCTGCTTTATCTCAGTCCTCCGACTTAGCCCTCCTCCAAGGGGAATGCCACCTGGGAACACTTGGTGGAATCCCTCACAGGCTTCCTTTGTTTGGGCAGTGGTAGCTGCCAATGACCTCAAGTGGCAGACAGCAGGTATGTTCCGGCCCTTTGTGGAAGTGACCATGATTGGCCCACACCAAAGTGACAAGAAGAGGAAGTTCACAACCAAATCAAAGAGCAACAACTGGGCTCCCAAGTACAATGAAACATTTCACTTGTGAGTTATGGGGTAGGGAACCTGCAGGACTCTGGGTTGGGGGTGAGCAGGGGCGTTAAGACTTGGGAGAGGAGGGATGGGTTGGATGGTGGCTGGGGTGAATTCAGTTGAAGACTCTTTCAGCTCTGGCCTCCTCCCTTTCACCCACCTTGTGCTCACAGCCTCCTGGGAAATGAAGAGGGACCAGAAGCCTATGAATTGCAAATATGTGTGAAAGATTACTGCTTTGCCCGTGAGGATCGTGTTCTGGGGCTGGCTGTGATGCCTCTGAGGGATGTGGCAGCCAAAGGCAGCTGTGCTTGCTGGTGCCCCTTGGGCCGGAAGATCCACATGGATGAGACAGGCATGACTATTCTCCGGATTCTATCTCAGAGGAGCAATGACGAAGTGGCTCGAGAGTTTGTGAAGCTCAAATCGGAGTCTCGTTCCATAGAAGAGGGAAGTTGAGCACCTAGGTTCCTGTGCCAACCAGATGGCATCAGTTCCACAAGTCATGACCAATGAGAGTTACTATGTAGCCAGCTTAGGATCCTCATAGTTGAGAGGCTGACTCCTTCAGTTTAAGGAAATTAAAGGAAAAATTTGGGGTGATAAGAGTATGGCCTTTCACAGAAAGGGTCATGAATCCCTGACCAGCAGGTCTGTAATGCTAGGAGCTGGGCTGTGGGGGTTACTGCATAAGGAGGTTTTCCATAAAGGTAGGGACAGACATTTATGAGAGTGTCAGCCATTCTTGGTAGACACTCCTTCACCCCACACCCCATCTCCACCCCTCTCCATGCCACACCTTATCCAGCTAGACCCATACATATCAACCATTAGAAGAACAAGTTTAGAGAGCTTGGAGCATGTACCTGGTTAGCTAAATAGTCAGTTGAGCATCCAGGTGTTGCTGAGCCCTATAGTCTGGATTGGAGTATGGCCAGGGTAGGAACATAGAGAATAGAATTTAGACTCTCCCTTAAGCAGGATCCACTGGTTTTGGGTGGCTCCATGAAAACAAGGCTTTGAGACTGAACAAGATACCTTCTAGAAATGAGCTGTGCTAATCTTTTCCCCCAAATTATATGTCATGAGTAGAATGAGGTTCACATGATACTTCAGAGCCCTGAGCAGAATATTCTTTGGAACGCAAGCACCAGAGGCCACCTGCCCAGGAGTCCCCCTCCCTCATTCCTGTAGGAAGGGGAGCAATGATATTTCAGGACATGAGAGGCTGTTCCTTTATGTATGCACCTGAGGGCTAGTTGAAGGATCCAGGAGAGAGGGCTGTATTTTCTTCTTGGGTAGGCTCTGAACAAAGCCAAAAATTGTAGAAACCAGTCTAGAAGCAGTCCTCCTCACCTATGGCTACTGCCTTCTGGTTGTCCTCTCCTTTGCGGAAAGAATCTAGTCTTTGGCCTCACTCCCCTTCATCTAGGTCAGCTGCTGTTCCCCTCACAGATATTCAACCCTACAGAAGGAGCTTGGACTATGGTCCCTCTGTACAGGCTGGATGGAGGAGGCATCAACGTTCCTTGGGAAGTCAGAGACAAACTCTTTTAGGAGGTCGTATGGACTTCTCAGGCCCTTGATCAGAGATGTGACGTGGTTCTTGGATATCCTTGGTAGCAGCCTCCTGGACCTCCTGAGGACTCTGTGTTATCCACAGCTGTACTGGCCATTACATGTAACAAGAAACTAAGCATCTTTGCTGTTGTTAATTATGTGCCACTGTTACAGGACATTTTTGGCTAGTCTGTAATAAATTATCTTATAGCAACCTTTGGGGTCTGGTAATTCTGTTAAGGTGTGGAAAGCTGTAGAAATGACTATCCTGTATAACCCTGTATAACAGTAAATTTTGTACCTGGCACTCGCTGCCTCATCCCCCCAGCAAGTGATGGAACCTAAAGCAGCTCTGGATAAGCACCATGCAGTAAAGCAGGTAATGGTCTAGCATCTTGGCCTTGACCTGAGACTACCAATCCAGTTAACAGAGTCATGGGACCCAAGGTATCAGCTTTCTGCAGAAAGTCCAGATGTCACGTGCTAGTAAGGGTGTGCCTCTGGGGATTGGTAGGAGGCTGAGGCTGTCATGTACAGGACAGAGAAGTAGTCCTAGGAGTAGAAATTGGCTTTTCGTTTGGGAAAATTCAAGGAAGGAAAGCTGGAGTAAAAAGTCTCCTCCTATATTGGAAGAAACAAGGTAGAAGTGAGGCCTCTTGGACAGGAATCAGAGAAGCTGACACAAGAAAGTGCTTACCTAGTTTCTTAGCCGTTGTGGGGTGGGAGCTGAGTGGGAGCACAAGACAGGGGATTAACTCCAGCTTTCCAGTTCATTTCCATTTGCTTGCTCAATAAATCCTTAGAATTCAGTTCCCTAGTCATTTTTAAATTTCCTCCTTCTTCCCCAAGCCATTTGCCCTCTATCATTTCTGCCTTAAACTTGTTGAATCCGTTGTCTTACTTCAGTTCTCAGTACCACAAGTGGAATAGTGGCTCTTAGTTCCTCTTGTCTGTATTACTGTGATAATCACCTGCCTCCGTTCTGCCCCTGCCCTCCTCACATACTCTGGTAAGCCTCTCTCCTGTTAAAATTATTCAGTGGTTATCTATCATAGCCTTCGGGCTGAAATTCTAAGACCCTCCAAGACACTGCAGACATCCCCCTACCATCCTGTAGCTATTCTAAAGCACTTCCCTGAAGTTACAACCCCATACACACATTGTGCACTCCTACCCCTCTGTGCCTTGGCACATTCTGTTCCCCCTTTTGCTGGAATGGCCTGCAGGCTTTTTCACGGCCTTCTAGGTTCTGGTACTTCGTGGCAGCCTTTAGGACCCAACCAACCCTGAACCCCTTCACAACAGCACTTTACGGTTATAATTTACTTGTTTGTCTTCCTCAAAAGTCTGTGATCCACCCAAAGGCAGGGTCTATTTCATCTGTGTACTCCAGCAGCCGGCACAAAGGGCGCTCAGGTACTTAGAGCCAGGCCAACAGCTGCAGGACCCCTTCGGGAAACCAAGGCAGGGTGGGGCGGTTGGCGGGCTCCCGAGGAGAGGGGTGTGGTTGGAGGTGGGCTTGTGGGGAGGGGCGTGGTCGGAGGCGGGGCTCTGCTCTAGGCCCAAACCTGGGGCTCTAGGGCGCCTGCGCAGAAAGCGTTAAGATGGAGATCGCTGGAGTTGACGGCTGCACGCCAATGGTGAGGAAGAAGCGCCCGAAGGTGGCGCCGGAGGAGAGGTTATTGCCTTCTCCCTCCCAACACTGAAGAGACTAACCCCGTACTACCTGACATTCGTACAGATCTGTGTCCTTCCCACTAATACCTGTCTATCCTCATACTTTTCTTGTAAACAGTTCTCCCGATACTCCCCGAGGTTCTTGCCCCCTCCCCATACTTGAAGTATACATAAGGGTTTTCCAGACACCCCAGAGAAGATCTATTTGCCCAAATACCTAGCAAAGGGGATATTTATTCCCAACTAAATACTTCCCAAAGTGGGACACATTTATCCAGTTACCTAATGAAACAGTTAACCCCAAACCCCTAGCTAAGGCACATTCTATTAACTCTGGAGTTTCTCCACTTCTCCAGCAATATCCAGATTCACTGAGAAAAAGCATAAATCTACCACACTTGACCGCTATCATTCTTTCATATGGCACAGGAGACCTCCATAAAGAAAAGTCAAACTCTGGGTATCCATGGCTTGCAACAGCCTTGCGAGTTTGAATTAGTAGCTATTTAAAACCAGATTTCACATTTAAAAAATACAGATTTCCAGCTTTTTTTTTTTTTTTTAAAGGAAGATCTGTTTTAACTCACATTCCCACAAAGCAGCTGGTGGTTGGAACTGAGAAGCAATTGTTAATTTACGATAGTTCATTATAGACTCCATTACTCCTTGTTTACTTACAGTGGGCTTTGCTTTATTTGCCCGGCATCTGGTAGGCGTTTGAATTTGTGCCTCTTATGTAGGACTTTGGTTTGGGTCATTTTTTGAGCCAACACTTTGAGCTTTTAATGGAAAGTGAAATCCAAAGGAGATGGCTAATATGTTTAGATTGTTTTGGTTTCTGCAGTGTTCTGATTAGGATCAGAAATCATCCTAATAGCTAAAACCCAGGGTGAAATCTGTACCAAAGTCTTTGTGCTAAGAGAATTCAATCAAAATACTTAATAGTTAGTTCTCTTGTATATTTGATCTTGAAAAAAGCCAGTTTTGCCCAGCCCCTCTTTGGTGAGGTCAGGCCAAGGACAAGAGGTTACTTGTTTCTCTTTGAAGACCTAGTTTTGTAAGGGCCTGGCTCTGGTCTGTACAGGAAGTGATGTCTCAAAAGTGCTGCCTCCCTTGTTCCAAAACACACAGATGGTAACCTTCCTTCCTCCCTCAGGAAAATAACAGGCCTCATAATAATCAAGAATGGTGATCATCTGGGGCACCCGGGTGACTCAGTTGGTTAAGTGTCTGCCTTCAGCTTATATAATGATCTCACGGTCCTGGGATCGAGCCCCACATCGGGCTCCCTGCTCAGCAGGAAGCCTGCTTCTCCCTCTCCTTCTGCTTCCCCTGCTTGTCCTCTCTCTCATTCTCTCTCTCTGTATCAAATAAGTAAATAAAATCTTTTTTTTAAAATATTTGTTAGACAGTGAGAGAGGGAATGCAAGCAGGGGGAGTGAGAGAGGGAGAAGGAGGCTTCCCGCTGAACAGGGAGCCCAATGCTGGGTTCGATCCCAGGACCCTGGGATCATGACCTGAGCTGAAGGCAGACGTTTAACAGCTGAGCCCCCCAGGTGCCCCAAATAAATAAAATCTTAAAAAAATGGTGATAATCTGCAGGCTATATCTAATCAGAAGTAGAAGTACCTTTAATAATGGATTTTTAAAAAAGATTTATTTATCTTAGAGAACACCAGCGGGAGGGGCAGAGGGAGAGAGAATCTCAAGCAGACTCCACGCTGAGAGCAGAGCCCGACGTGGGGCTCAATCTCATGACCCTGAGATCAGTCTGAGCAGAAACCAAGAATTCTTTGCTTAACCAACCACCCAGATGCCCCAATAGTGGATTTTTAAAGGAGCAAAATCACTTCTTTGAACACAAGTGTATGATCTACCTATTCATTGTGAATATTCAGACTCACTCCCTAAATGAAACTGTTATACCTAGAAGCAGACTAGCAAAGCTGAAGAAGCCACATGGAATAATGAAAATAGTATTGAAGTAGAAGTGAAAAAACATGAATACTGGTATCAGCTCTACTACGTACTAATAAAGGGACCTCGCTTTTTAACTTCTCAGAGGCTCAGTTTCCTGCATCTGTTAAAATAGACTAATAATTCCTCCCATGTCTACCTCAGAGGGAGCAAATGGGCTCATTTAAATGTGAAAGCACTTTGAAAACTATACACTTTCTCTAGGTTATAAGGACTATTATTATAAATGATCCTCTGAGTTCTGATTAACTTCTAAGGAATTAGTCTTGCATCACAGGTTCAAAATGAGCAAATCTTTGCTGGGCTCATCCTATATGCCAAATAGCTACCTAGGCACAAGGCCTAGCATTGAACAAAACAAAAACTGAATAAATTTAAGAGTGAGTCATTAGCATATTAAGTGCCCACTAAGTACCCAGTGCAGTATCACAGCATGGTGAAGCAATAGGAAGAATCTAGATGATGGGTTTAGGTTTGCCACTATTCTATAGCTGTGTAAAACTAAACCTCCGCATCTATAAAATAAGGAAGTTAGACAAGGTAACCACTAAGGCTCCTTCTAAAATACGTTTGTCATTAGAGATTCTAATTGCTGAAGTTCCCTACTGCTAAAAGCTTACTGTCCTGCAGGGATGATCAGACTAATGAAACTGAACGATCATAGAACTGTAGGACAATAGAGTACTAATGTCACACTAGATACAGCACAGTAGTGGTAACAACAGTGTTTTTCTGTAGGTAACAGAGAATTTAGAGAGGCTTCTTGGAAGACCAGGGAGTCCCAGAAGGATGGAAAACTTTGGATCTGAGGGAAGGAAGGAGAGTCTGTTATAGATATTAGAAATTTAATGAATGGAATTGCAACAACATGCCTTTTTTTTGTTTGTTTTCCTAGTTTTTCAGAATCCTTGCAGAAAAACAGCTGGTGCATTCAAAAGGGTTTAACTGAAGAGAGTTTAACCAAAGGGTTGTTTACAGAAGTATGATCAGTATTCACAGGAATTAGAAAGGAATGTTGAAATACAACAACAGTGGCAAGTTAGTAGGACTCCTAGCCCTGAGGGGAAAGAGGAAGGAGTGTTGTTACCAGAGCCCGCTTACAGCTACAATCTGGAAGAAGGACTGCCTGACAAGAGCTATGGCCATAAGGGCTAAGCAGTTGCTATAAGCAGAAATGAAGTAAATAGATGCTCTAACCTTTCTCTCTCTCTTCCTGCTCTCAGGTCTCCAGCTAGTGCTTTCCATTGGCAAAATCCAAACAGAAGCCTAGGGGTAAGATAGTTTGGGTGATGTAGTTCATAGAGGTCAGCTTCCCAGAATAGGGCAGAGGGAGTTGAGTGGGAGGAGGCACAGCACACAGAATAACCAGCATACAAGGGATCTAGGCAAGGAAAAGTCACCACCCTGGACTCTTACCAAGAAAGTTTTACCTAAGTTCATAAATTCAAAATCTACTTTAAGGTTTAGTCTCCTTAGCTGTGAAATGGGGATAGTAATGCTTTTGTCCCAGGGTGATTGTGAGGATTCTATGGAGGGTGGGAGGTACAAAACTGGAGACTCTG